GATTCAGATGCAGGGGCAGGGGCAGGGGCAGGGGCAGGGGCAGGGGCAGGGGCAGGGGCAGGGGCAGGGGCAGGGGACGTGGTAGAAGTTGTGGGTAGGAGGGAGGAGGAAGCAACTGGTCGAGAAACGGGATTTGATCACCCCCCTCTAGATGAAATAGATAGGGACATAGGTAGGGTGGGGTAGTGAAAGTGGTCGGAGCGAGGGAGGCCGAAGGAGCGTGTAGTAGTTGAGGAGCGAGGAGAAGGAAGAGGCAGAGGCAGAGGAAGAGGAAGAGGAAGAGGCAGGGGCAGAGGAAGAGGAAGAGGTAGAGGCAGGGGAAGAGGAAGAGGAAGAGGAAGAGGAAGATCAACATCGAGAGCCAGAGGAGGAGGAAGAGGAGGGAGGAAAGGAGCTTCAGGCTTGACGATGCTCCGTCTCATCGCTTGCTTTTCTCTTTTCCTCTTGTCCTCTGGGTTTCAAGGAGTTTTCCATATGCAGAGCAGGAGCAGGAGTCTCCTCCTCTCCTGCCGCCCCTTCTACCTCAGAACTTCCCCTCGACGCGCTCACTCCAACTTGGCGAGCACCCGCATGCAACAAACGTCGGTCGGGGTAGGACCTTTGCCGACGGGATGGGGAGCAGAGCTGGGGCTGCAGGAGCAAGATCTTCTTCCTCAGCATCCTCGTCTGCTCACAGGCGCTCTCGACAACGGACTTCGTGAGTAGTGGGGAGAGGGGACAAGGAGGAGCGAAGGGGAGGAGAAATTTGTGTATTTGGAAAAGTTCTCAGAGATTACTCTGACTCTTGGTCAGGCTATTCGATCCTCGAGAATAGGAACCCAAAGAACAGATTCTACGCCAACCTTGAAGTTCATTCCGGCAGTTTAGACGAGGACGACGAACAGCAGGTTGAGCATGCAAAGGAGGAGGAGCAGGAGGAGTAGGACAGTAGAGGAGGAACAGGAGGAGTAGGAGAGGGGAGGAAGAGTAGAAGAAGTGAGAAGGAGTAGGCGAGGAGAAACAAATAAAGAGTAGGATGAGATCGAAGGTGTGAGGATGAAGAGAGCAACAGACAATAAGGAGTAGAGATGCGAAGATGCAAAATGCCACGAGCGAAAAAATCTGGAGGAGCAGGAGGAGCAGGGGAAGATAATGAGTGTGTGAATAGCTGATAGAACATATCAGGGGATCGCGCATTTCTTGGAGCATGTGCTCTTCTTAGGTACAGAGAAATACCCCAAGTCAGGAGACTTCAAAAAGGTTCGTTTACTCCTCCACCACCTCCTACCCATCCTCTTGCTCCCATCAGCTCGCTCCCAGTGATTGTTATCACCATCATCATCATCGTCTCCTCCTCCTCCTCCTCCTCCTCCTCCTCCTCCTCCTCCTCCTCCTCCTCGTATCATCGGCTCTTTTCATCGTGTAAATGCACGTTCCTTTCTCTTCCTCGCTCTCTTGTCTTCCTCCTCTGCTTCCTGCTCATCCTCTCCTTCAGGTCCTCTCTCGCCTCGGGATGAGCCAGCTGGCTGACGCCAACGCTTACACCGACTTTCGCTCCACCGTCTACACGCTCAGCGCACCAACTCGAGGAAGCGAGAAGAGGTCGGACGGAGAGAGGGAAGGGATGGGAGCGATGATAACGGAAGAGTTGCAGGCACGCTTATGACATGGAGAAACTTTCTGGTGCAAGAAGAGACACATTGTTCCGTGCTGGTAATCTCCTCCTAACCCTCCTCCTCCTCTCTCGCCTCCTCCTGCTTCCTCTTGTCCCCAACCCCTTCCCTCCCCCACTCTCTCATCTCGCCCCTCTCTTCTCTCTCCTCCTTCCCCTCCGCTCTTCCCCTCCCTTTCAGATATCAGGAGCAGCAGTTGAAGCTCCTCCTCCCCCTTCCTCGCTGTTTCTGTTCTAATTGCTGCTTGTACTTGTCTGGGACAGGGCTCGTCGAGTCTCCAGCTACAATCAAGACACCTACGCAGCTGGAGGAGGAAGAGGGAGGGGAGGAGGAGGAGGAGAGAGGGAAGGGAGTTGAGGCTGCTGAGGACAACGTGGGGCTGGTGATCGACCTGCTGCATCAGATGACGTTCAAGGCTCTGATCCGGGAGGAGGACGTGGAGCGTGAGAGGAACGCTGTGCTCAACGAGATGCGAGACTCGAGCGACATCAGCGAGAGGATCGCGAGCAAGTTCTACCAGCAGCTCTTTGCTGAGACTCTCCTTCCCCGCCGCTTCCCCATCGGCAAGCTCGAGATCGTCCAGCGAGTCAACGCGGACGGTCTGCGGCGCTTCTACGAGCAGCACTACTTCCCTTCCAACATGCACCTCTTCCTCGTCGGCGACTTTGACGCCCACCGCGTCCTCCAGCACATCTCCTCCTCCTTCTCTGCCGAGCCGCCGGGCCCTCGCGCTCCTCCCTCGCACTCCCGCAGGGACTCGCTGGCGTGGGCAACGCCTCCTGGTCCGCTCCCTCTCTGGCCGTTGCGAGGGGCTCGGGTCGAGCATACCTTCGGCTCCCCCCCGTCGGTGCGGTATGAGCAGATCTCGCACTCGCAGGTGTCGTCGTTCTCGCTGACGCTGACGATGAAGGAGGAGCTGGAGAGCAACGTACTCGTGCGACATGTCTTCGAGGAGCTCGTGGACAGCCTCGTTGGCATGGCGCTGGAAGGGAGGTTCGAGGAGCTGCGCACCCGGGGAGGCGCCGCGGCGGTGGAGAGCGTTGACTGGATGTTCCTCAACTCAGCGCGTGAGGGGTGTGTGCTCAACTCGCTTGTGGTGACAAGCGAGGGGAGGAGCTGGAGGAGAGCTGCGCGGGTCTTCGCCAAGACCCTCCAGGAGCTGATCAGCTTCGGGCTCGTGCAGTCCGAGCTGGACCGCCTGCTGCGATCGCTGGTGAAGCAGTACAAGACGGACGTGGAACAGGAGGAGACGATGGAGTCTGACGAAGTGATGGAGGAGTTGATGGAGTGCGTGGAGGCAGGGGACGCGTTCATGTCGGCGGGGCAGAAGTTCGAGCTGGTGAGGAGGATGGAGGAGGCAGTCACGCTGGAGCTCGTCAACCACAGGGTCCAGCAGCTCTTCTCATTCGCTTCCCTTGCTGGCCGCAACTCAGAACTTTGCGCCTGGTTCGTGTGCGCGCCCAAGAGGGAGGGGCGAGCGCTGAAGGAGCTGAGCGAGGCGACGCTGCGGGAAGAGATGGAGAAGGCGACGGCGCGTCTTGAGCCCTACCGGGACGCGTCGGTCGTTCCCTCGTTCCTGTGCGAGGACGAGGAGATGGACGAGCGGATGCGGCGGCTGCAGCCATGCTTGGTGCCAGTGAGGTCGATGAGGACGGATGGGACGGAGAAGGAGGAGGGGACTGAGGTCCTGAGGGACCCGGGGACGGGGGTCAGGTTCATGGAGCTGAGCAACGGGATGCGAGTCACGGTGAAGGAGACGAGCTTCCAGAAGAAAGAGTTCGGCATCGAGATCCGAGCGACGGGAGGGAGGGCGACGGAAGTGGCGGCGGGGATGAAGAAGGGTGCAGTGATGCTGGCGATCCAGGCACAGCTGAGGAGCGGGCTAGGGCAACACGACGAGGAGACAACAAGGAGGTACACGCAGCTGCACGCGATCGGGTTCGACGGCAGCTGCTCCATTGAGCAGTCCTCTTGCGAGATCGCCGCCTCCTCCTCCGAGCCCAACGCCCTCCGCCGAGGCCTCGAGGTCGCCCACTTGCTGCTGCGGGACTTCGCGGGGGAGGATCGGGCGCTGAGGAGGGCGAGGAGGGAGCTGAAGCTGCGCTGGGAGGCGATGGAGGAGGACATGGAGGTCCTTGTGGCTCGCACCATGATGCAGCTCCTCGTCGACCCTTCCGTTGATGCCTACGACTCCCTCAGCCTCCTCGTCTCTCCTGCCGACGCCGCCGCCCTCTCCCTCCACGACCTCCGCGAGGCCTTCCTGCTCGAGTTCGACCCCAGCAACCTCGAGGTCGTGCTCACCGGCGACTTTCCTTCTGAGACTCTGCTGGACGACGTGCTGCGCTACCTCGGAACCCTCGAGACCCGAGCGCACAAGCTCCCTGCCCAGCAGGAGCTCAGCAAGTTCTCCTCCCCTCCTGGTGTCCTCCGGCCGCGAACCGCTCAAGTGCAGATCCCCGACGACTCACAGAGGACGTTCGTGTGCCTGGGCTTCCGCTCCCTCAACAGGTGGGGCTACAGCGCTTACGAGGAGGGGGAGGAGGGGATGGGGAGGAAGGACAGGTGGGAGGAGCACGGAGCGATGCACGCGAGTCGTTGTTTGAATCTGGTGGTGGACATGCTGAACAACCGGCTCTACGAGGAGATCCGCGAGAAGCACGGGCTCGTCTACTCCGTCAGCCTTAGCTGGGAGCCCTTCCTCCACCACCCCTACGGCCTCCTCACCGTCTCCCTCTCGCCCTTCCCCGACAGGATGGAGGAGGCGATCGAGCGCGTGCTGGGGGTGCTGGAGAAGTTCGTGGCCGAGGGCTTCAGCCGGGAAGAGCTGGAAGCGTCGCGGGGCCCGACGGTCAAGGAGGTGGAGGAGAATCTGAGGACCAACGACTACTGGACGAGCCTCGTCGTTGGCATCCAGTCGCGCGGGGCCCTACCCAAGTCCTGCCGCTCCATCCAGCACATCGCCGACAGGTATCAAAGTCTGACGGAGGAGGAGGTGCTGGAGGTGGGAAGGCGAGCGCTGCGAGGGCTCAGGGAGCAGCTGGTCGTGGTCAAGGGCCTCAGCGATCCAAGCTTCTCCTCCGTCTCCGTCTTCCTCGAAAACGAGGACGCGAATGAAGGGCCCCGTTGAATCTTGGCGTGCTCCTGTGCCGCTTGCACATGCTTCCTTGCCCCGTCTCCTGCCCCTGCCCTCTATCAATCCTCCCTCGCCTCCAGCATGTCAAGTCGTCTCCTCAGCTCCTCCATCTCCAGCCTGTGAGCCTCCGCCTGGGTCGCGACCTGCATGGGGTCAGCGGAGGGCGAAAGATAGGAGGAGGGGGGACGCTTCACCGTCTTCCTCAACATTTCTTCGCGCTCCTGCATCTCCCGCTCCCTCTTGATGGAGGCAGCAAGCGCCCGGCTCTTGAAGTCGAGCTGCTTCTTCAGCTTCGTCCTCTCGTCCTCCAGCTCTCTGATCCGCTCCTCAAGCTCAGCCACCGCCTGCCTGCCTCCCTCCGGTGCCTCCCCGTCCGGCACCTGGGCAACCATCGCGGCATGTTGAGGCGAAGCATCATGGGCAACAAGACGAGGAGGAGCAAACTCCTCGTGATGCGACACTGCGAGCAGAAAAGAAACGTCGGCATGCGCCCCATTCAACCATGACGCCCCGCCCTGCATGCTGTGATCCTCCACAAGTTCCTGCAGCCAAGGGTCCAGCAGCTCTGTCCCACTGTTGGCATCAAACACGCGCTGGGCTGGAGGGCGGAGCCTGAGCGCGGTGGTGGCCAAGGCCAGCAGCTCACCGCGGGTGGTGGGGAGGACGATGGTCTTGTGCTGGGAGGCAGAGCGAGGCAAGGACCCGACGGAGTAGACGACAGCCTTCTTACCTGCGACATGGCCGAGGCAGCGAGGAAGGGACGGCGAATGCTTCGCCTCCATCCTCTCTCTCTCCTCCCTTGTCAAGGGCCTCTCCTCGGATGGGCGCGCCTGCAGTTTCCTCTTCTTGTCGCTCTCCGAGTGGATGGAGGAATGCTGGTGAGCTCGAGAAGTTTCGCGTGGAGGGTCGGAGGTCAGGGGCTGGTCCAACGCGAGCTGTTTCTTCATCTGCTGAGCCAACAACGATCGATGGTTCCTTGCCCCTTCGTCTCCTCCCCCTCGCTCCTCCCCCGTCACGTCGTGAGGCCGTAAACGCGGCGTCTTGCTCTCATGGTCATACTTACCACTCCTGTGATCTTCCTCGGTCTCTGCCTGCACTCCCTGCTCCTCCTCGCCTTGTTCTCTCTCCTCATCCTGATCAACTTGTCCTTCTCGTCCTCGTCGACCCTCTCGTGATGCATGCAGTCGCTGCCTTAGCTCATGGATCCGCTGCTTCTTCTGCGTGTCCATTCCGACAGCAGCAGGTAACACCTACCCAACGACGAACCTGCAAGCGCTAGTGTCACTTAAGAGGTTTGGCCCGGGGCGCCACCTTATTGCTCTTCCCGTCACCCTAGATCCTGGTGCCCCCTCCCCTCCCCTCCCCTCTCCTCCTCCCTCTCCCTCAAACGGTTCAACGGTTCAGTTTCAGCCTCCTGCTCTTTTCGCAACTGACTGTGTTCCCAGTCCTTCCCCCTCCCGCCCTCCTCCCTGCTCTCCTTCCGCCGGGGAGTCTCTCAGCCTGTGACCTCCCGGAGTCCCGTTCAGGCTCCTCCCCGGGAGGACCTCTTTCCTGCCCTCCCCTTCGCCCTCCTTCCTGCGCTCCTTCCCGGGCCCAGGCTCCTTCCCTCTCTCTTCCCCGCCCTCCTCCCTCTCCGCATGGCCCCCCTGGCCTGGCTAGTCAAAAGATTCCTCGCAATTCTTTAGTCAACAATATCAATCAGTCAATCCAAAAAGAAAGTTGACCCCGCCTCCCCGCACATGTCCTGCCGCCATGCTGCCCCTCGCCCTTGAGCGAGGTCTACTGGTCTCCATCCGTCATCGAGGAGGAGCAGGAGGAACATGATAGCAGCTGCAGGACGAGCAGGGAAGGAGATGCAAGGAAGGGGATGCAAGGAAACGGGAGCAAAGGATCATGGGTGTAAGAGTTTGTGTCACAACGTTGACCTAGACATGAATTTATTGCCTTCCTTGATTGAGATTGAACACTAGCTGCCCGCGCCATGTCCGGGCGAGCTGGAGGGAAGGAGGGAGGAAAAGGAAAGGGAGCGACAGCAAAGGCAGGGAGGAAGTTGGACAAAGACAGTGAAGTAAAGAAGGGAACGATGAAAGAGGTCAACAGTCGCACCGCCAAGGTTGAGAACCCAACGGCTTCGAAGGAGGTCGAGAGGTACAAGAAACCCTCAATGGCGCCGACGAAGAATGCAGCGACCTCCAAGGCCAAAGGAGGGGAGAACAAACCAGAAGTATGGGAGAACGCAGCAGAAGCTCAACACGTAGAGGAACAGCAGGCGATTGTGGAGTCTGCTCCCGCTGATTCTGAGGTCGCTTGCACGAAGACAAGGAGGATGGGACGAGACCTCTTGATGGAGGAGGAGACAGAAGTGTCGCCCACCAGGATCACCATCAAACTGATCGCGCTGAGGTGCATCGGTGAAGATAGGATCGCAGCGATGAAGCCGGACGAGCTTGCTGAGGCGGTCTGTGGACGTTGGTGGCACTTGGGTCTAGTGATGTGGGTGGGAGCAGGTGCTGAAGCTGACTCACATCAGACTAGAAGCAGAAAACATCGCCCAGATCGAGAACCTGGAGGTGGGAGGGCTGACCTGGAGGAGATCTCGTTATCCTGATCGAGCTACAGGCCCTGGGCAGGGTGACCCACCTCTACCTGCAGGAGAATCGGATAACCAAGATCGAGCACCTCGAAAGTCTGCATGTACTTCGTTGACCGTGATTCTTTGACAAGTTTGGAATGTTGATGCTGGTTTGCTTTCAGCACCTCCAGCTGCTGTCCCTTGCCTCAAATGACATCATGGACATCGAGAACCTAACATGCCTGCGGAGCCTGAAGGTTGTTGAACTTGCTGCTGCACTCTTTGCGAGCTCACCTGCCTCCAGGCTCTTGACATCGGTTACAACCTCTTGGACGAAGTTCCACCCGGAGAGCTTCCCAGCAGTCTGCTGTTCCTGACAACAGATGGAAATCCTCTGCGAAAGATGGTTGTCAGAGCAGTGCCAACTACGTGAGACACTGAAAATTTGACCAGGACGACGGCGCATGGGGTCGGGTCTACAAGTCCCTACCAAACTTGAGACAGCATGACTGCAAGGATGTTGTCGTCGATGAGGACACAGACGAAGGCGACGGCGAGAGTGCGGAGGAGGAGGAGGAGGAGGAGGAAGTCGGCGCAGGTGCTGACGGCGGCTCACCGTCGGCAGCTGCAGGGCGTGAGGATAGTGAAGGTTAGGAGCTGTTGGATCTCCTGCAGGGCGAGTTTGATAGTGACTAGACTGCCCTCAGGCGCTTCAATGCGAGATTTTGACCATTTCGACCGAGACTTCGTGGCCCAAATCAAAGACTTCGAGTACCAGCGGTATCAAGCACGTCGATTTCATTTCAACGTGATCGTGCGTTGCAGCATTCAGCAAGCACAAATGTTCTTCGAAATGTCGATGGAGGGGCTGCGTGAGCGACGTCGGAGGATGATGGAGGTAAAAGTGTCGGGTGCACTTTAGATGCTGAGGGTACTGGCAGAGACAAAGAGCAGCATTACAACAGGACCGCATGAATCAAGAAGCCCTGTAAGAATGCCTGCTGCCCTCCTTCGCTCTTTGTGTCAATATTCGCCTGGTCTTGAAACTCACGACTGCTTACCAACAGCTACCTACAACTTCGACAATCAATAGCCGACACACAGGACAAGTTGGACAAGGAAGGAGAAGGTCGGCAAGTGCGCCCAGATACTTGATCTGTGTGGGAATGCAATACATTCATTATCAGCACAGCGAGAAGATCAGGCAGGACACAACAACGACTCTAGTATCCTCGTCCTGTGTGATCGTGCTGCCACCAGCTATCCTTTGCGGAGCCTGCCGTCCACCAGTCGCCCTTCCCTTTGATGTCCTTTGCTGGATCGTGAACATTGAGGGCATCCGTAGCCTCCTTGGAGTACTCCTTGAAGTAGCGCTGAGCAGGACCCTCCAGCTCGCTTCCACTTCCCTGCCGCCACTTCAGCGTTGGATCGTAAACAGCTCCCCAGCGCTCCACAGGCGAAGTCGGCACAGTGGGTCTGGCTGGTCGCCTCTGCTGCTTGCTGCCGGCGGCAGGAGCTGCCTTCTTGCCAGGAGCAGCTTTCTTGTTGTCAGGTTTGACGGCACTCAGCGACTGAACTCCAGCCTTCTTTGATGGAGAGATTCCGTTCAAAGTGTCGAGCACGGAGTCAACATCAGCCGTGCCAGAGAGTTTGCGATTCTCAGTGATGTCCTTCTGAAAGTTCTCCTCGAGCTTTCCTTGCGCGGTTTGCTCATTCAGTGCAGCTTTCATCTGGCCGTGAGCGATGCGCATTCCACGAGCACGACGGTCGACCGATCCCTTGATCTTGGCCAGGCTGTTGAGCTCAGCATTGAGCGTCTTTTGTAGCTCAGCAGTTTCGCGAGGAAATGCCCTGCGCTCCGCAGGAGGAAGCTGAGCCTCAAGCGCAGCAATGGTCTGACTTGCCTTGCCCACAAAGTCGCTCAGCTTTGAGCGTCCACGGGGGAGTTGCGCGAGGGAGCCTGTCCGAGCTTGCTTGTGAGCCTGAGGCTTAGAAATCAAGGCGTTGGCCTCGGAATATTTCTCGATGGACTGGAGGCCCTTCTCCGTTCTAGAATACAAATCGCTCAGCTCAGCCTCTTCCTTGGGAAAGGCACGAGCCACGAGGCCCCGGGGCGCCTCAGCTTGAAGGACGTCAACCTGTTTCTCTGCAGATCTCAATAGGGAGCCAAGGTTTGTCTCCGACCTCCTGGTCGAAAGGAGCGAAGTTGCACGGTGATGAGGCGAGATGAAGGTGAGAGTTACAAGGGAAGCGATACAGGCAAGCGCTCCCAGCTTCATTGCCGTCCTCCTCCCCTGCACTCCTCCTCGAACCGCCGCCATGCCCATGACTCTTCGCAGAACAACGGTCTGGCTCAACTCCGTTACATATGTAACGCCTTTGTAACTGTCATTGAACAGTTACAAAGGCGTTTTTTTCCTCTTGCGGACATGTCAGCCGTTTCATTGACCGTTACATTCCTTTTGACGAACCCGGGGTTCCGGGGTTCTCCTTTCAAACTTACAACAAGAAAAAAAATGAAACGAAAAGAGGTCATTTCAGTTACACTAATGGGTCGTAGAAAAAAAGTTTGCGAAACTATGATGTTCCTCAAGGAGCTCCGAGTGGACGGTACTTCTTGACCGATTCTGTGGGGGTAGGGTTCAAGGGGTGGCTCACTCAGACTTTGGGTGTATGGAGGGGATGGAGGTGGTGGGGGGTCATGCTGGTCATCGCTACTGCGAGGTAAGGGGGCGAGAGTTATTCTTTGTAGGGGTGGTTATCTGGTAGTACAGGGGGGTGATTAGGATCACGCTAAACGAGATCAAATTGGGGTGTTGATAATTTAAGACTGCGACGGCCATGAGTGAGAGGGTGGGGGTGGTGCGTTACTGGTTTCAGAACCACCAATTAGGTATAGGTCAATAGGGGTAAAAATGAGCCAGAGGTTGGTGAAGGGCAAAGGGTGGGTTTTCAAGAAGGTAGGATAAAGGGGTGTTAGACTCGGATGGGTAGGGGTGTAGTCCGCGAGGGGTTCTTGTGTGGAAAAAGAGGGGTTCACATAGTTAGGGGTCGTGCGAGGAGGACAAGAGATAAGGTAAGATAAATCGATGCTGACACGCGATCAATGATTGGGGGTAGTCGTGTGTTCCACCCCATGTTTCTCATGCTTGGCAGGTACTTTGAAGGTGAAATAGAGGGGTGGTCCGATGTAATAGGTGTCTAACAGACGGGAGGGGTGGGGTTGAGGGCAATTGATTTTGTTGGGGACTCTCCCACAGGGGCGGAAGGTCTACCGGTGCGAAATCACATTAGGGTGTGTGGGGCTGGTGGGGGGGGGGTGGGTAGGAGAGTAGGGGTACTACTGCATCACCAAACTAAGAGAACAATAGGTGGTGGGGACAGCTGTTGTGTCTCGTCAGGAGGGTGGGGTCAACCACAAGATATTGTGGGAGCCTTTCTTGCCTACCCCCTCTCCTTATCAAATTCCACCTACCCCCTGTAGTCGGAGCCCAATCCATCCACCACCCCATCAAGATTCCACTATCTCCTTTGATGAAGTACCCTGCACACTCACCACCCCAGGTTTACCACCGTTTGACCCACGAGTTTGTCAAGGAGTTGCACTCCAATGTTCCGCATTACCCCACCCCTGACGTTTTGTTTTGGCTCAATTTGACCCCACCCTGTCATTGTACACTGGAAACAGAACCCCTCCTCTCACCGCCTTCTTCGCAAGATCAAAGATGAGATTTGATAAAGGTGGGTAGGGTACTCAAAACTTCTAGGGGGTAAGGGTAGTTGTCGAGGTATCACAAGGCTCCTATGAATCGGGGGTACTTGAGGTTGTATACGATGGGGGTCAGGGTGACTCTTTCTTCGCAACAGGAGTAAATGGAAGGGGTAGGGGTGATGGGTAAAAGTTGGTCGAAAAGTGGGAGGTGGGTCATATAGATAACAAACGAAAGTCGAGGTGGTAGGGTCATCTAGGTCACAATATAGGGGTAGGGGTAAAGGACGGAGTGACATGAAGGTGCGAGGAAATGATGGGTGGGTCCAAACAAGAACTGCGATGATGGGTGGGTCCGATTGGCAATGGCATTTCACCAAGAGAATATAGTGATTACCTAGGGTAGTATAGATTGAGATCATTAGAACGGATGGATTGAGGGGGTAGGGGTAGAAGAAGAAGAAGATAGCTTGAGGGTTGGTGTTTTTTTTTTTTTGAGTTGTCTCGATGGTAGGGTGGGGTCCTGTATGACGGGGTAGTATTCAAGTGGGTAGGGTTGTGATCGTGTGGGGGAAATGAACCGTCGGCGCGTGAGATGCGAAAAGCGGGAAGATGTAGAGGACGAGGATGAGGATGAGGGCGAGGACGAGGAAGGGAAAGAATTTAAAGGTTATAGGATGCAGAACAAGAGAACCAAGGCAAGAGTCAGAACGAGAGGTTCAGAAGACGAGAAGCTACAGGGAAACAGAAGTAAGGACCTGGCATAGTGGAAGGACTCATGCAAGAGTTAGAATGCCACCGGATTGAAAGATGAGGACATCCGGAAGGGTCAAGGGAGGTTTATTTGATAGGATTGAGTGAAGGAGGGAATACCCAGTAGAGTTGATTGATGAAGTTGTAATTTCAACAGAAAAATGATTCTAGTTGTGTTAAACCATTCGGGTGCCTTGCTTCCGTTTTGTGCTTTGTTTGGAGGTGACATGGTTTTTGCAGATTGAATTCATTACACAATTTTTGGATTAAGAGGACACAAAACTGAGAATTGAGATAATCTCCGCTCGTCGATGCTACCCAAGATGAAATTCGACGCTTTTGCAAAAGAGCAGAACCTTGAAAGGAAAAAAGTGGACCGCAGGTCTTTTCCTATCTGTCTTCCTTTTTTTTAAGTTCTGACAATCGTACAGTTCTGTCTCAGAAGAAGTCGATTCCTTCCTGTCTAAAAGGATTGTCCACGGGTATTTACTTTCAAAACAGTCGAAACAAATGTATGATGTGCTTTGCAGGCGAGGTGAAGTCGTTGCTCTGATGGAGGAATTCTGTATGAAATTTGCAAGCTCTAAGAGGAGGAGGTTGCAAAAAGATGGACAGTGGAACAATGAAGTACCAGAGAACATCAGCAGCATAGGTGTCGGTCTTCTCAATGCAAGGTTGCAATTTGTCGAGGTCAATCAGAATTTGCTCGAACTGTTCGGCTCGGCCCAGATATTGGTATGCATGTGAGAACGATGATTTGCGTGACTGACACCGTTGGCTCAGGCCGAAACGGATCTCATCTCTCTTTTGGAATGCCATGACAAAGTTATCTTGAAAGGAAGGCTGGACAAGTTGTCGCAAGGAGCGAGCAAGGTTTTGGACGCTCAGATTACGATTGAGCGAAACAACTTGAAATTGGAGCTAGCCCTTTTCTCATGCCAGTTCCAATCAGATGTGCGATTCTGCGTCCTGATGATCCCGTATTATCCCCAGCGTCAACTGTCGGCCAAAGACGTGCTTACAGCTTCCAAACCCTCTCTCGCGATTGATCGCTTGGTGCACAAAGATTGCAACGTCGATTCATCTGAAGAAACCTCCGAGAATGATTCGGAAAGCAGCAAGGAGAAGAAGAGTGTGCCCTATCACCCATTGCTTCACGGTATCTGCCCCAAGTCCCAGAAGACTTCTTGGCTTCCTTCTGCTTCAGATTCGCAGAGCGCAAGCTTGCAAGGATCAGCCCTCCCAGCGTTTGCCAATACCATCTCTGGGATGTCGATCACATCCATAGCGGATTACTATAGGGCCTTGCAGAGCACTACTCCTGTCCTCCTTGCTGTTCCTACCTCCCAGACTCAGAGTGACAGCTCGTCGCTACAACGCCTGAACCTTCCCACGTCTAACAACTTGAACCTCTCCAGCACTCTGTACAGCAGCGAAATCAAACCCTCTGTCTCTTGGCCATCGCTGGCCATTTCCAATTTGACAAACACGTCATCGCAAAGGGTTCAGCTCCCTGGAAATGTTGGACAAGCAGCTGACAACAGCTATCAAACCAGCGCCAAGAGCAACGGCAACCTCTTGACGTCCTGGTCGGGTCTTAATGGAGCCATGATGGACTTCTCAAAAACAGACGCAGCTCCTTCCTTGACTTCCCTCCTACAACAGCTTGAGCTTCAGAAGAAATTGCAGTCACAGCAGCAGCAGCTCTCGGCTCTATCACTTCAAATCTCGAACTTGACTGCGCTGATCCATCAGAGGAAGACTGAAACGAAGCCAGAGGTCAGGCCTCAAGAGAGTGCTGCTGGAGTTCTTGCGTCCATGGGCGAGTCCTCTCAGGACACGCAGGCAAACTCAGGGGATCAAGTGGATGTGGAGGATGAGGGCAGGGCACTCGTGGGAAGAGCTTCCCAAAGGAACGTCACCATCCGCTGGACAAGAGAAGAGCATGTGAGTACTAATGGCTCCGTTGATACTGGACCATCTGACTTATGTCTCCAGGCCGCGTATTTGAAGGGGTTGGAACGATTCGGAACAGGTCACTGGAGCAGCATCTCCAAGCTATATGTTCCCTCCCGTACGCCAGCACAAGTGGCGTCGCATCATCAGAAGTTTGCCATCAGGAGCAACCTGCTTCCTGCCGAGAAGCAGAAGCCGTCCATCCTCGACATCACAACTCCCGCTGTGCAGAAGCTTCTGGCAGCGGAGAGAGAGAAGGAAATCCAGCTCCAGATGGCGCAATGATGTTAATTGGAATGTTTCAGTAGCGATTTAATGAAAGTGTGTTGTGCTTCCCTCGCAAGGGTCTGGTGTCACTAGCGTCAGGTTACAAGCATAGACGAGCTATGTTAAGAGGCGATGCCGTCAGTGAGACTTGAAAGGGGAAGGGTCCATCTGCGCAAGGATCCGGACAGGTGACTCCTGTTGCTCCGTCAGCGTCGCTGCTATGGCAAGAGCCTCAACCACCTGTGATCCGCAAGGCTCTGCGTCCTCCCTCGCGCTCTCGATGCTCATGTTGAGCGCTTCTATGCTTCGCTCGAGAGCAGCGCAACGCTTCTTCTCCTGTAGAGCCCAGCAGTCACACCACCAGCAGGAGCGACATGCCACCAACCTTCTCCAGCTGCAGGGTGAGCTGCACGATAGTTTCGCTGTCTCGAGTCTTCTTCAGCATCGAGGAGGCTGGCATGGGGATGAGAACGAGGCACCAGCAGCAAGGAGGCTCTACCTGCTGACACGACTTGCTCCGCCACGAAGCGCGAGTCCGGGTTCGGGTCCAGCATCTTGCTCAGCAGGTCTGCAGGGTCACATAAGAGATGCGCCTCCTCCTCCCGAGCCCTTCACCGCAAAGCTCGCTGGACCTCGAGGGGAGCTGCACTGCTGCCCCTGCTCGGATCTCCTTGTAGTCTCCGTCGCTCAGAGTCAGGCGCTTCTCCAGCGCAAGCTCCAGCACAGTCGCTCCCAGCGAGTAGATGTCGCACGGGGCGAGCTGCCTGCAGAACCCCTGCTCCATCCCCAGCTCATCAGTTGACAGGCAGGCAGGCGGATTAGAAGGGGGTCACCTGGGAGAAGCCCTGGATGACTTCAGGAGACGCGTACCTGCCGTCGCCTTCCATGGGCTCGACCCCCTCGCTCAGCGTCTTCTGAGCAAACGCCAGGCCGAAGTCGCCCAAGAGGAACCGTCCTTGCTTGCAGTAGATGTTGTCCGGCTTCACGTCCAGGTGCGCCAGCCCTCGAGCATGGATGGTGCGCAGAGCCTTCCCGATCTGGTGGAGGACAGCGACCAGCGTCGCTTCCTCCACCCGCACGTGAGCTGCGACAAATTTTTCGTGGAGGGTGCACTCGCAAACTTCCATCTGGATGTGGAGCTGCTGGTTCTCAAGCCACGCGTTGTGATACCTGACCACGTTCTTGGTCCCTGCCATCGAGTGAGAGGAGCAAGATGACGAGGACGGAGGAGGTCACCAGCAAGGGCAGCCATGGCGAAGACTTCCCTCAGTGCTTCTCTCTTCTCCCTCTCACTCTTCAGGTCTGCATTGCTCCTCTTGATCGCGTACAGACATCCGTCTGTTCTACTTCGAGCAAGATGCACAGTACCAAAGCTTCCCTTGCCTAACATGCGCAGCTCGTCGAAATCCTGGAGGTACCGGGAGGGTTTGCATCCCTCAGCTAGGATCGGCATGGCGCGGCTGGGTGTCCGTTTCTCCACAGCTGCAACAAGGTTACAAGCTGCGGCAATTCTCCTCCAGCAACAGTCACTCACTGGTTAGTGTCTCCTCAACGAAAGGATTCAGGTTGCACGCGTTGGCCCCAACAAGGCGAGGGTGAGCACGAGCCTCAGACGAGGGCTCTGCGCTCTTGTGCTGAGCTCTTGACGGCAGGGCTGGTTGCTGGAACCAGTCGGAGATTGTTGTCTGCTGCTTCATGCACACCGAAGTTCTGACATGACACGAGAGTCACCAGCGGCGGAGCCCAACGCAAGGCATATACCGTGATTTGACAGGCGCGGCAGGAGGAGCCTTGCTGCTGTTCAGAGGCTTGCGAGACTTGCTCGTCTCCTCCTCCTCCTCCTCCGGAAGGGATTCCAAGTCATAGATGAATCGATCAGGCTTCGACGCAGTCCTTGTCTTGCGCCGCTTAGAAGCATTGTCTGGTGTGGGAGGCTCGGCCCCGATCATGTCCTGATCGTCGTCCTGCAAGGAGATGTTCAGGAGTGACACAGCCGCAGGTCAAGAGCCACCTGAGTGCCCTGGGACCAGTTGAGCTCCTGCACTTGCCCCTCTGGCGTGCAGAAATCCCCGGAGAGGTACTCGGGAGTGCAGTAGACAACTTCCCCGTTCTCGTCTATCTTGGACTTTTGTGAGAGGTTCTTCTCTTCCCTGTCTGTGTCGCAAGACATGACATTGCTGAACTCCTGCGTCAGGCGCGATAGAGGCGAATTGATGTTTGCTGGCCGTTTCTTGGGGAACATCTGCAGAACAACTGTCAACGCCTCGCGAGATCAGGTACGTCTGCAGCAGAAGACAGAACTTCTAATGAAGTTGCAAAAGAGCAAGTGTTGGTGAGAAAGTACGCAAGAAGACAGACTACTGCAACAAGACTAAGCAGGAACCAAGGAAGCCCCTCGGGTGGAACCAATGAGAGTAGGAAAGGGAATAGCAAGGGGGAGCAAGGTAGCGGAAGTGTACCAAATGCAGCAGTAGAAAGGAGGAGAAATAGACGAGGGAAAGAGCAGGACATCAAAGTTCTAGAGTGAAAATCAAGACGAGAGGATGGAGGACAAAAACAATTTCTAGCGTAGTAGCGTTGTATGTGGAGTTGAGACAAGCACAGAAAGCAGAAGAAGAAACACAAGCATGAGCAATGGTTAAAAGTTAAGGAGCAGGAGCAGGAGCAGAGGCAGAGGCAGAGGCAGAGGCAGGAGCAAGAGCAGGAGCAGGAGGAGCAGGAGCTGCATGATGGCGGCAGTGGTTGCTCCGAGCCTAGAAGGGCAGCATGGAGGGGCTCTTGTCCATCGAGCAGCACTACCCCTCCATGTCATATACCTTTAGGGGGTGAAGGTCGGAATAGGTGGGAAAGCAGGTAGGGTACCCCCACCCCCAATCCTAAACCTTTTGATGATGAGTACCGGTCTCAGGTTGGGTCTAGGGTGGGGTCCGAGCAAAGCTCCTTCGTGAGCGACGCAACCATCTTTACTACCCCTTGGTAATAGGCTTAAAACACGGGTCCTATGTCCGTTAAAATTCAAATAAACTACAACTTATTTTAAAAATAGTGGCACGGCGCCGCTTGCGTAACATGCTCTCACGATGTGCTTTTGAAGTTCCTGGGACGAGTACAAGGTGGTTATTTATAGAGATGATTGGTACTGTAGCAGGGGTAGATCTTGTACCACACTTCCCTTTAAAACTTAATAAGATGCAATCTCACGGGCCTTTTGTACCATAATCTTCTTTTATACATTATTTTAACAGGATCTCGGTACTGTGGGCAATTTTAAAAACTGCAGAAGCAAACCTTTGAGGTAATGCAGGCCGGGCAGCCTCCTTTAGCTCCCTCATCGTCGCCCTGTGCCACTCCCGCTTGTCCTCGCCTTCCTCGTTCATTCCTCCATCATGTCATCCGGTCATAATTCCTCTTGCTTCTCTCCTTCTCTCCTCCTCCTCCTCCTCCTCACCCTCACCCTGCCCTTCCTTGGCGACTTGGTCTTGTTTGATTTTTCTTCCCAATTCATAGCAAATCCCTCCCCTCGATCCTTCTGGACTGAAATGCCACCTTTTGGTGGATAATTTGTTTCTTCGCTCCCATGGTTACATGCTTTCAATCACTCAGCAGCTATTTGTACCTTTTGGTACCGCCATGCTCCTGCAACCAGTTTGATCTTGATCCTGCTTTGATGTCCCTGCTCAACCTTCGCTACTTTTCCCTGCGCAACCTTCACTTTTGCTTTCCCATCTTTACTGAAAGTGATCGAAACCTTGTGTGTGTATATGTTTGCATTTGTGTAAGCGAGAGGGCTTTTAATGTTTTTGTCCTTGTGTGCTCGCTCTGCAACTAGCAGAGACATGTTTCCGTTGCATTGCTGTGGTTCTGACAGGAATCTTGCAGTATTGAGACATGATTCAGAACCTGTGGTCACTCTGTGCACTCGCTCGCCTTCTGGAGGGCAGCACGAAGCCTTGCGCACCGCAAAGCCCTCTGAAGCAGCAGATGGATCGCAACGATCACTAAGGATGGCAATAGCGACGGCCGGATGCTTTGGGTCGCATGCGAGGACTTTGCCTCCTCGCTGACACTGCCATTTTATGTAGATGAAGGATAAGCTCAAACCGTATTTGAAGCTGAGTGTACAATAAAGCTCTTTCAGAGAGACTGCTCGATTTACGTAATGTTACACGAGGAATCTATTGTTGCGACCCCGGAAAACTTAAAAAACAGAAATTCTCTTAGTTTACATCTTCAAACGTTACAATGTCTTCATCCACATCATCCAAGGAAAGATAATCTTTTGACACGAGTCAGCAACAACGTTCCCTTCTTGCCTTGAGAATTACCTGGAGCACGATTTCCCACTGATAGAATCGGGTGGCTGTCACCGGCTGCAAGCTCCTCAACTCGCCTGTTTCCAGAAGTCATGAGGTTATGGCAGTTGTTGGCTTCACCTTATCAAGTCTTCAAAATCTGACTTATCGTCACAATAGAATCCCAAGGCAAGAGATGGATCGATGTGCGCTAGTGACATCTTTCCTGGGTGCGCACAATGAAAAGATGCGACGTTGATGTTCTTTCTGATCGATTGATAAGGCTAGAACGGAAAAATATCAAAATGGATAACAATCGCATCCTCATTCGAACCTGAGTTATGTGAGGGTCCAGATAGTAAGCATTATATCCTCTGACACCAACAAAGTAGTATGAGTGTCTTGGCCGTCCACCAATGAATCCCAGGCTCTGCAAATGCTTGTCAATTCGAGACAAGTGCTGATCTTCAGACCTGAGGCAAACTGAGGTATGACGCAAGCTTTGGAATATAACTTGGATTGATCCTATCACTGTGAGCCTCTCAATGGCGAAATCTAAACGTTTCACATCCTTACCTTGCACCGAGTCTAACGGGTACGACAACAATTAGTGGCCTCCACGAGCAAGGTTCCCTTGCTTGAGCCATTCTGCTGCAGTTGGTACCCGAGTACGCCTGTGCAAGAGAGAAAGAGTTAGCAGAGATGTGGAAGATAATCAAGTTATCCAATAATCATAACATACCTGTCGAGAACAAGCCACACTCTCAGCCAAATCACGATAGATACAGTGATCTTCCACAAAGAGCATTCCAGCTGTGTGGCACGGCCAGACACCCTGAACTTCGCATTGAGAATGAAGAGAGCATAGAAAAATTCAGACGGACCTCATTCATATTCCATATATGCCTGAGGACTCGACAGATTGTGTCTGGTCCAAACCATCTGATTTGTGCAACTAAGTGCAAGGTCGGTCAAAAGAATGGAGCATTACTGTCCAATGCTGCGATGAAATTGCTGTCCAGTTTGTGCTATACGATGTATTGAAAACATGCTCGCTGGATGGTCTTCAAACAACTTCAAAATTTGTCCATACCTGCAGCACAATGGTTGAGATATAGCCCCATGTAGCATCAGAACTATAACCAGCGAGGAGTGGGCTTGTCCCTTCGCAATCGCCAATCTCTCCTCAAGTGATGATGTAGCAATGCTTGTGCCAGCATCATTTGGCCACTGCGCAGCATGCATCCCCAGCCGCTGTCTGAAGTAAGATTGCTCGGTTCGATTGGAGAAAAACCAGATCGATATGTGAACCTGACGCAACAAATCATCACCGGCCATATCATCGTGGAGTTGTTTTTCAAAACTGAAGATGAAACAAAAGGAGAGAAATGACATACCAGAGCCTTGATTGAATGTCGTGTTTGAAAGCTCTTTGTGCGCGCATCCACACCGTTTGCTGGTCGGTTGTACCGCGATTTGTAGCATTGCCACGGGGAGAATCTGGTCCAACTTTATACTTCCATCCCAAAACCCATGCTGGAGCACATGAACCATCAAGAAATTGCCTCTTGTCTAGTTCTGGCGGAGGTCCATCAACAAAATTGCGAAAAATGTATGAACGGTCTCTGCAACTTTACGTGTAGCGTTTGCCATGTTGTTGTGTGTGTTCAACACCAGCTGTCGAGACAGTGGAAGCAAAATGCGGGGTTCGACAAACATGTACTCGCTATCAAGCTTGCTTCTAGGAGAGTCCGAGGCATCGACGCTGGATGTAAGGCAGTAGGCTCTGTCGACGAGCTCGACCTCACACTTAAACTTGACATCAGCCATTTCACGCATCCAAGGCTCTAATTCGTTCTCGTCAGCTGCGAAGTAGTAGTCGCGGAGTATCCACCACTGACTGTGCTTGGGAGAAACGCTTCTCTGTGACGATATTTTGATTGCCACAGGGAACCTTCCTTCGTGTCCATCTACAACCAAGTTTTGCACCTTGCCAAATTCTGCATCATCTAAACTCACGATACCCTTGAGCTCCCATTGTGCTGTACCGCCGTTGAAGGGAAAGACGTGTGACCAGTATTGAAGTTCACAGTCCTCAGTGATAACAACATATCGCTTCTTCCAACCCCTGCCATGATATGATAATTTGTGAAGCCAACCCTGCTTGATTATACCCTTCCTGCTATCAGGAGACAAGTGCATGTAGGACTGATACTCATCAACAGGCAAAGGTGGTATATGGGGAGTTTCGTGGTTGGAAAACTTCGGCAAAGGAGCGCAATTGCTCCCCATCACCCTTGAGTTGGGAGAAGGAAACGATTCGACAAACCCTGCAGCCATCGTTCTTTCTCAATGACCCTCGCAGCCTGATAGAGGAAAGAGGAGACAAGTGCCAGCCTTTGTGTTCTTGGTAATAAAAACAAGAAGACGCAAGGAGACGGACCTCAGCTCCTCTTTTTCTCCACCTTCTCTTCGCTGGTTCCAAGCCTGGCTGCCATTTTGTCTCTCTCTCTTTCTACCCTTACCCCTACCCCTAACTCTTCCACTACCCCTTCTCTCTGTCCACCCCACCCACCTCTTAGGGTCATGGTCCCCCTCCTTGCCTTGGGTAGGATACCCCTCCAACTGTACTCTAGCCCACTCCAAACCAATTCCAGTCACCCTACCCCTGATAGTGGCTGGTCTTAAACGGGTGGTATTCTTATCGAGAGGGTGACATGGTTCACTCCGGGTTCTCTGAGGGAAAGGAACCCATAGGGGTGGGATCAAGCGATCTCTTGAGGGTGGGGGTAGGATTAAGCAAGCAGTATCTGGGGTGGGTAACGATTATGCGTATGAAGAGGAGGGGTGGGGTTAGGAATATGAGGGGTCCGATGATGGGGTAGTGAAAGATTTGTTCTTAACGAAATTGGGTAGGGTGTCTTGTTGATTGACAGTTGGGGGTAGGGTGATCCTTCGTTGCACCTGGTAAGACCTGGTCCTAGAAAGAAGGCTATAGGAAGGAATAGACAGATAGAACTTCCCTCAGTCCGTTGATTGTACCGTCGCACCGGAAGCACCACTGACCGGACGGCCCGCCGGCGCCCGGTCGTGGGCGGGCCCGGCCATTGAACTCAGAGTAAATTCCGACTCGGATGATCGCCGGCCGCCCCCCGAGCCTCAGCTAAGCAGGCCTGGCTTGCCAAGCACGCTCAGGGCACTGGGCCGGATTCGACCGTGAGTGACTGTGCACTGCCGCGCCTCGGGCCGCCAGGGCCCGGCGCTACGGCGGCGGGCCGTGGCGGCCCGCAGCTCAGGCTCCGACCCGGAGTGGCCAGCAGAACTTGGAATGCATGGCCGGGCCGCCGGAGGCTCGCCCCGGCAGATTGTTTCTAGTCCGCCGGGTAGGGTAGTGACCCCTACCTCCATGATTCATGGTGGAACTCACAAGAGGCATCCAGAGAGGGTGGGGGTAATGACCCCTGTAGGCTTTTTTGACTTTTCAAACCGCAGCACATGGTCTCTAAACCCCTCCCAGCACCTGTATTTCAAGGGGTAGGGGTCATGACCCATTGGTATCACTTTGTTGAGTAAAATTTGTACTCTGATGACGCTGCGTGCCGCTCCTTCAATGGGCCCGGAGGAGGAAGGGGAGGCAGTGGAGAAAGTGGAGGCAGGGGAGATGAGGAAGGTCAGGAGGGGCAGCATATGGAGCAAGAAGAGAACCATAGCAAGCACTAGAATCAAGGGGGGAGGGAGATGGAGATAGAAGAGCAGGAGGATATGGTGGAGACGAATAGTAGTATCACTAGCTGCAGCTGAGCAAGGTTTTCGGGGAATGATTTTGAGCACTGCTGATATTCTGGGGAAGGATTGGTGACGTTTTTTCATGTTGAAGAGTGAGTGTTCTGATGGCGCATGTGCATGAATGTCGGAGTATCTAGAGGAGAGGAACTACAAATGGAAGCAGGGACAGGCCCACATGGATCAGTCTGGGCAATGAAGGGGGAAAGAAGCGGTGAGGGGCGTGAGAGGGGAAAATCGATTTGAAAGGAGCTGAATGAAGGACAAGCGGAGGAACTTGAGGATTGATCAGTGAAATAGCTTGTGTATATGATAGGGCGGACCGACAGGGGAGCCTTGTGACTGAAGAGAAATATACCCGTCGTTCTATCTCTAGTGTCCTGACGAGCTTTCTTGTTCTGCTCTGCTTTTTCTGTAGAGTTGTGCTTACGAGTTTGATATGGATATTCTTGCCCCGGTTGTGTTGGTAGGCATGTCTCATTTAGAGTGCTAGCATTGATGCAACAACCTTCTGCTTTTGATCTTGTTAACTCAGGATAACTTTGTGAGTGCGTGTTTTCTTGCTCTACACAACGGTCCTTGTTCTTTAATGCTTCAATCTTCGATTCCCTTTGAACGTCCATAACCTGATTCGATGCAAAAGAAGTGCGTAATTGACATGGAAGTAAAGCACCTGGCAGGTTCTTTTCACCAACAAAACAGACCAGGAATAATCATGAGTACTGAATAGTGAGTAATTCTCCTCTGTTATAGTTTGCGCCTTCCATGTCTTCAATGGCTATTCGCATGCTAACTATCAACAACAGCGATTACTTGTTCAAGCTTTTGCTCATTGGAGACTCTGGTGTTGGAAAGTCTTGCCTCCTCTTGCGTTTTGCCGACGACACCTACACTGAGAGCTACATCAGCACCATCGGCGTTGACTTTGTGAGCATGTTCTTCTTCCTTCTTCCTCGTTCTTACTCCAATGTCAGAAAATCAGAACCCTTGAGCTCGACGGGAAGACGATCAAGCTGCAAATCTGGGATACGGCTGGTCAGGAGCGCTTTCGCACCATCACCTCCTCCTACTACCGAGGAGCGCACGGGATCATTGTTGTGTATGACGTGACCGATCAAGAATCGTTCAACAACGTCAAGCAGTGGATGAATGAGATCGATCGCTATGCCAACGACAAGGTCAACAAGATGTTGGTCGGCAACAAGTGCGACCTCACCGCGAAGAAGGTGATGCCTAAGGCTTCTGCGGGATCACCAGGGCTGACAGTGCCTGCAGGTCGTCGACTACAACACAGCTAAGGAGTTTGCTGACCAGCTTGGCATCCCCTTCTTGGAGACCTCGGCAAAGGACTCTACCAACGTCGAGCAAGCTTTCATCACCATGGCGGCTGAGATCAAGGCTCGTATGGCTCAGGCACCTGCACCCAAGAGCGGCGGCCAGTCCATCCAGGTGACGAGCTTCTTGTGTGTGCTGTGAGGGGCTAAGACCTTGGCAGGTTGGAGCAGGTGCTGCAGTGGGGGAGAAGAAGGGCTGCTGTTAAGCGAGGAAGAAGCTCAAGGGGTGCAGAGAAGTTGTACATGGGAAGAGGAGTGGGATGGCTTGCCGTCTCTGTCCATTGTGATTAATTGATTTTTGATATGTGGAGCGACTTTCCATGCTCGGGTTCACAAGATGAGAGACGCGTGCGGTCTCGGCGTTAAACTTGCAAGATTCATAAATCCGATGCGAATTGACGTCGAGAGCTTCTCCTCCGCTGCTTCCTCTCCGCTTGTGGTTTACTCTTCATATTAGGCTTTCAAATCCTTAAGTGTCTGTACGTCTTCTCACAACTCTCTCTTGTTAATAAGAACCTCCGTCGGGATCCACTCCTTGTCGACGAGCTTCTTCCTCGGCCTGCCACAACACGAGTCAAGTCAGACCAATCACCTCCCTCATCTCGCACACCTGGCGGATAAGCTTCTGCAGCTGAGCAAAGAGGAACGGACGATGTTCTCCGAAGATTTCTCGAACTCTCTCTAGGGTTTCGTCGACGCTCTGTTGGCCTGTAGGAGCGTGAGATACCGGCGCCAGGACTCAGTCAACACACCAGCATTGAGACGTTTGATGTTCGCCGAGAACTCGCGGAACTGCTCGGGCTCGAGAACGCGTTTGACCTGAAGGACCACCAGCATGATCCTTGTCCTTGCTGTTCCTCCTCCTCCTCCTCCTCCTCCTCCTCCTCCTCCTCCTCCTCCTCCTCCTCCTCCTCCTCCTCCTCCTCGTCCTCACCTGCTGGTAGTAGGTCGCTGCATCCATCGTGATCTCAGGCGCCGCATTCTACCACCGCAGAGCATCATGAAGACGGCAAACGAAATTGACATGGTGCTGTCACCTGCGAAGATGCTTGCGGGGTTGACTTGGGCATGGCATTGGCTCCTGCATGCGGATACCCTTCGTTCATGATCAGGCATTATTTCCTCATCAACCAGACGATCGACACCTGCATTCCCGCTCGGGTATCCCATACCAGAGGCTCCTAGATGCGCTGGTCAGGAGTTGGCGTTGGAACTGCAGGCGAGAAATACCGGGGAAAGCATCCACATTCCCATTGTAGAAGTTCATCGAGGTCGATGGCTTGCTGTAGGTCGAATCAACCTCTGCAGGGAGACAAGAAGTGCGACGTCACCTCATGAGATCGATCGAGGGGGAAGGGATCGAAGAGCTATTGAACGTCGAGTCCATCGGCTGAACAAACATCATTGGAGCCTCGACGGGAATGCCAAGAAAGCTACCGGCAGATTGTCAAGCATGCCTTGGACATTCAGAGTGTCGAGACCAGTGTCTGCCTACAAAACAATTAAGAACTGAACTGGTTAGAGGAGGAGAAGAGGGAGGAAGGGGTCGGGAGGGGGGGGGGGGGGGGGTAAACCTGCAGCATGTTGGAGATGTTCTTCTTGAAGCTTTGAAGCTGGAATTTCGAGTCAACTTGAGTTCGTCAACTTCTCAGATCTTCAAACCTGGGAAGCGTGCTTCTTGAGCGTTGCGATCTGAATGCACGTTAGAAACCCAAAGCAGAGCAAGAAGGCAAAGCAAGCACCTGATTCAAGGCCACGTTTCTTGCTTCCGTCAGCTGTGCGATCTGAAGAGCGATAAGGACAAGGAAAACTTTCCAGAAGGGGACATTTGTTCCCCCTTGCAACCAACCTCTTGCTGCCGTTCGCTCAATTGCCTCTGAAGCTCCGAACTGAAGCGCAAATGAGCAAATAAAGTGATAGTTGAGAGTCCGATGCCAGTCACCTCCGTTGGTTCGCCTTGTTCAGCTCCTCTCGGGTCTGCGCCTCCTGCTGTTTGTGGTGCTGGGCGACTCGTTTCCAGTGCTCCACCTCGCGTGTGAGCTCCTCTGCCATCAAGTCAGGAGACAGGAACCGTGGCAGAACATGTCTAAACTTGACGAGTCAAATGTGCATGAAATTGTGCTCCTCTTCCTCATTATATGCATGAAACGGTGCTCACAAGGAAATCCTGTGTCAATACATGTCTCACAGAAACTTGTCTCTAGAACTGACTTGTCTTCTACATGACCTGTTCCTTCCTCCATCTCACACGATGCAACGAGTATTCATCGTATCTTGTCGCTCGTTTGCATTTTCACTTGCAATCATCTGTGTTGGGGGAAAGAACAGACATCCAAGAATGGAGTTGGTGAGAGGTGAACACATGAGTGCAGGGTGCAAAGGGTTTAAAGCTAACGTCGAAGATGCTGAGGATCATGAGCAAAGAGAGAATAGATGTGGTTGCGAGAGAAGTTGAAACATGTATCGTCTCATCTCAAGGATCGTGAGGAGATCATGAAGACGAGATTTTCAACTCAAGAGGATTGAGAGCGAGCTGTCTCCTCCTCCTCCTTCTCCCTTGTGCTCTCTGATGTTGGATGGTTGTTCTCCTCTCCTCGCTTCCTCTCTCACCTGCTCTTCGTCCGTACGCCTGTTGGACCATCTGCAGCCCAAGCTGCATCTGCCCGTCCGCCGTCGTCTCTCCGTCCATCTTGCCGCTCCCCTAACTACCCCCACCCCCTATAAATTCCACCACCCCCTTCACCGACTACCACCCTTGTACACCTCCACCCCTGCTCTCTACGTGGGGGACCTGAATTTCGAGTGGTTACCCCACCCTCTTACATCAGGGTACCCCACGCATGACCTGCACTACCCCCTGGTATATGACCCCACCCTCGCATCACCGCCATGAGGGCTGCGGACGTTACATCAAATTCTTTTTTAAGGGGTAGGGGGTAGTGCAAATATGGCAGAGCAGGTGAACAAGTGGGATCAAAAGGTTCCTTCTAGGGGTAGGGGTCCCGATTGTGAACTATAAATTGGGGGTGGGGTGGAAGAGTAGGGTAGGTGTTGTGCTGAGGACATTTTATGGCGAGCGAAGTGGGGCTGGGGAGGTAGGCGGGGATAGGAAGGGGGAGGAGGAGGAGAGAAGGAGGAGAGGAGGAGGAGAGGAGGAGAGGAGGAGGAGAGGAGGAGAGGAGGAGGAGAGGAGGGGGGGGGGGTAGAAGGAGGAGATGAGAGGAGAAGGAAGAAGGAGAGAGGAGAGACAAGATCGGTAAGATTCGAGAAGGTTGGTGGGGGCATGTGAGAGGATGGGGAATGTGAAAACGTTCTGGCGCAGAAGAGATGCCAAACGTATGCAGAACCTGAAGGTAGGAGGGGAAGGGATGTTGAGGCGACTGGGGAGGCTCGATGGGAGATATTTCGCAAGATGTTGTTCTTGTTGGTTGGTTACATCTGAACGGAGACGGGATTGAATGAAAGAATATGCCTGCTTGCCTCGCCTTGAACGACAAGATCTGCCGCCCTCATGAGAGCGCTTTCCCAGCTCTTCACCCATGCTACGGGACGAAACAGGGTATACTCCGACCTGGCATCTCCGTAGTTGACGTCGCTGCTGTGCTTTCTTCGCGCCCGGTCGAGGTCTTCGCGGAGCAAGCGGAGTTTTCGAGCCGAACTTGTCAATCGAGTCAAAACCTGCGGCCATGTAAGTCAGATGGTCGCGCGCTCCCGCCTGTCGCATTCACCTGCTCGTAATCCTCCATGCTCCTCGCAACAGTGGTGCCCAATTGCATTCGTGAGACTGAGGCAACTAGCCCAGCAGCTACACGGGCACTGAAGTCCTCCAGCGGGACTGTTACTAGCGGCGTTCCACACCAGAGAGCGTCGACGCCTGTCGTGTGAGCATTGAAGAGCTGGAGAAGGATGACGTCATAGCTAGCCCTCTATGCCTGAGAGACTCACCGGAGTGTCTACGAAGACGTCTGCCAAGCTCTTGATCTTGAACTCCAGCTGCCTGGAAACACGCTGAGTCGTTGCGAAGGATTGAGGAGTTAGGAACCGAGGGAAGAAGGTGCTCCATGCGATCCTTGTGACGTCCACGCCCTTATGTCGTGTCAGCACCGAAGCCGGGGCAAGAGCAAGGTACGTTGTCGGCAGCGAGCAGGGCGACGTTTGGAGGCGGCGTGGGGTCGAATTGCATGATCCACAACTTGGCCTTGGGTACTTTCCTCTTCAAAACTTGGCTGAGTACGAGAAGAGGCAAGGGAATAAAAGACACCAGCAGGGTGATCCAGGTCTGCAAGGTGTCGGGGTCGCACTTGAACAACGTGTTCCACGAGCACATGATGACGTCATCATCCTCAAACCCGCTGAGCGTGTGATTGAAGCTGCAGCAGGTAAGAGGAGCAGGCCATGGAGGAAGATTTACCCGTCCTTGTCGAAGAAGAAGAGAGCTGACCCCGCCGACCTCAGGGTCTCTCCCAGCCGCTCCCTCCTCACTGACACATCGGACTCCTGCTCGAGCTCTAGAGCTTCACGGCGAGAGAAGACATGGTCGTTGAGCATGTACGAGCCTGTCGCGTGCGGAGTCAGAAAGAAGCAGCACTGACAGCTCAGGACGACCGAGCGTGTAGAGCATGCGCTCCGTGTAGAACTCTGCATACTCAGGAGGCGATACAATTCGATCGGTTGCAACATAATGAACGAAATCTGCCCCCATGGAGCCTGGGTAACCATGCCACTGTAGCTGAAAAGGACGCGAGGTTACACATAGTATGCAATTCAGCTCTGTGCTCCTTTTCTACCTGCACAGGCGATGGCTCCATGGCAAGTACCTCTGTACATGGCCAAAGCGTCCAGCCCGTCAAGTCTACCAGCACGGCGATCTTAGAGGCACTGATCGACTTCGCACTTTCAAACACATCCATCCTATCTTTGCATCAGCAACGTCGCGATGCCTGAGGTACCTCACTTGGTCATGTCATGAAAACTTTCACAATCCGTTCGAATCTGCTCTTGAGCAGGTGATCCATCCGTCCGACCGGGGAACGTGTGCGTTCCTCTCGCAAAGCAATGGACGTGGAACCTGACATGCCTCTCAGCGGCTCCCATACACTCCAGCCGAGCACAGACACCTGTGTCGATCGTGCATACCAAACAATCCGCGCACAAAGTTAGCAGTTGTCGTGTTTCCTTGGAAGCCTGAGCAGGAGAAGTAGCCAACTCTCAAGCGAGAGGACGGGGATAGGCTCATCCCTTCTTCCACGTCGAACTTGGGGAATTTGAAGCCTCGGACCGCCCTGTAAAGGTGTCACAAAGACGTGTTTGAAACACGTCGGCTACTGACCCCAACACGTTCCTTGACATGTACTGTACATTCTTTAACATATGGAAGGGCTTGAGCCCATACACGCTGGCCTGCCATGGCATGAACAGTTGATCACCTCGCTCCAGACATTCAACGAACAACTCTCGCAAGTGAGCTGAGTGATTCTTCCAGAAGCGGAAGTCAGCCGTTTTCTGCGCGAGCGTCAGAGCTGTGACCAAAGGCGTCCTGTGCCTGGGATTGAGCGAGACGGCAGCCGATGTTGCTTCCAGTGCTTGCCGGTAAAATTGCTGTGCGAGATGAGGTTGGCTTGCAAGGTTGCCGAGGGAGATGAGCGAAGAGCCCTTGTTGTTGTAGGCCTCTAAGAAGTCAGGCTTCAATTTCGTCGCTGCCTCATGCAGCTTGACCGACAGCTCAAAGAGGTTTCTTGAAGAAACGAAGTTCCCCATGAGGTAATACGAGTCAGCGTCGAGCGTGCCTCTTCGAATCGCCATGGCGTGATACTCCGCAGCCCTCGCAGCATCCCCGTACATCCGTTCCAAGATTATTCCAATGTGCGAAAATGCACGCGGATCCTGTGGGCCCAGCCGAGTTGCAGTAAGAAGAGCATCAATAGCCAGCTCTAGAGCCCCCCGATCTCTCAGAAGGATCCCAGCATCAATCCATCGGTCTACTGATGTCAAGGACGTAGCGAACTTTGCATCCAATGAGCTGCGTGAGTCTACCAAGTCAGCCAAGTCGTCCTGCAGGAGATCTTGTCACAGCAGAGAGATCCTAGCCAAACTGTACCTGAGCTAGCGCCATGACCACGACGAGGATTGAGAGCAAGTCTCTTATCTGTAACCCACGGAAACCTCTCATCCTGAGTTCGGATTGCAGGATCGTACAACAAGAAGGAAGTTCAGTAGTCCTCAGTCTACTGAATCACATGCAAACCATGTTGTCCTACGTCTCTTGCCATTTTCTGTTTGTGGACTTCTAATGACCATTTCATCCAAATCGCGTCCCAAGACGTGTCGTGAGTATGTCAGGTAAGGGCCCATCAAGTCCGATCAACCCAGTCAGCAGTACATTCGTGTCCTCCTCCACCTCTCTCGCTCTTCTCCTCGCTCCTCCTCTCCATCCGGCCTGCCAAGCGCTGGCATCTTGTCGGAGAGAAGAGACTGGTACAAACAGTTATCACTCTCGTTGAATTGTAACGAAGAGTCGTTATATTACCGTTATCCTCTGCTGTCTCTCGCGGACTTGCCAGCTCAGCCCCAGAAAAGAAATTCGATCTGGGGTACTGCACAAGCAAAATACTTTGATAAGACCCTATATAAATTCAAAATTGTTATTTCATATAGTTTAGTTACTCAATTACTGATACAATTTTAACTAAACTATATGTGATGTGTGAAATTGTAGGACCCCTTCTTCATCATCCTCGTGCGCGTCGCCATGGGGGATGAATGAGGGAGGGGAAGGGATGCAGCTACTGCGCTTCTCCTCCTCCTCTTTCGACATCAACACCGACACCAACACCAACATCAACATCAACAACATCAATCTCATTAACCTCGATCAATTCTTTTATCATGCTCCATTTTTGTTCTTTGACTCGCCCCCTGTCGTTTGCCTTGTCACCGCTATTCCTTAACAGGCTCTTGACATCTTCAAACATTCTTCTTTTGATAGCTGATTTACTCCTCTTTGTCTTGTCAGTTTCTTCCTTCTGCCTACGTGATATATCCCGTATTCATTCTCTCTACTCCCCTTTGCTGTTCATCAACTTGGACGATCCTGTATGGGATTTCTAGTACATGTGTTTGAACGTATTCTTGTTGTTGAATTGATACTTTCACGTCATCTCTCTGTGCCAAACTTCTACAAATGTGATTCTGCTGGAAGAGCTGTAAATTTCACACGAGTGCATTTCGTAAAGAGTCATGCTGATGTTGAACTTGACGTTATCGTGAATGTTTGAAAAGCCATGATGGATGACATTTCTTACGCGTTACGACAGGTTGAGTGTGACGCCTTGTCCTGTGACCAGCTGGTGGTATCGAGCAGCTGGAATTAGTGGAGTTTCAACTTCACTGATCTCGTTGAAATGTCCGCCAGCAACTCAGAATTCCTCACGAAGTTTGAGACAAAGAGTAATCGTGTGAAAGGTTTGAGCTTCCATCCTCGTAGACCATGGATCGTTGCGAGTTTGCACAACGGTGTGATCCAGCTGTGGGATTATCGTATGGGAACCCTCCTTGATCGCTTTGAAGAGCACGAGGGGCCAGTGCGTGGGGTGAATTTCCATCAGACGCAGCCACTTCTTGTATCGGGTGGTGATGATTACAAGATCAAGATCTGGAATTACAAGCTCAGACGATGCCTGAAGCCTGACTTGTTGGGGCATCTTGACTACATCAGGACTGTTCAGTTCCACCACGAATATCCGTGGGTGGTCAGCTCTTCTGACGATCAGACTGTGCGTATCTGGGATTGGCAGCAGTCTGGCCGACCATGTCTTGTAGTGCTCACTGGCCATAATCATTACGTGATGTCTGTTCAATTTCATCCAAGAGAAGATCTCATCGTTTCTGCATCGTTGGATCAGACAGTCAGAGTGTGGGATATTTCTGGCCTCAAGAAGAAGTATGTTGGACACGGTGTGGACGACATGCAAGGACAAACCAGCGTCCCGAAGATTGGTGCTGACCTTTTTGGGAGCACAGATACCACTGTGAAATATCTCCTTGAAGGCCATGATCGCGGAGTGAATTGGGCATCATTCCACCACACGCTTCCCCTCATTGTGTCGGGGGCGGATGACAGGCAAGTCAAGCTGTGGAGGATGAACGACTCCAAGGCTTGGGAAGTAGACACGCTTCGTGGACACGTGAACAACGTGTCTTGCGTTCTTTTCCATCCCAAGCAAGAGCTGATCATCAGTAACTCCGAGGATAAGTCCATCCGAGTGTGGGACATGTCCAAACGCACTGGTGTGCAGACATTCCGACGGGAACAAGACCGATTCTGGATCCTAGCAGTTCACAAGGACCAAGGTCTTCTTGCTGCTGGTCATGACAGTGGCATGCTCGTGTTCAAACTTGATCGTGAGAGACCTGCCTTTGCAATGAATGAGGGCGGGCCCAATACAGGCTCTCAGCTGCTCTACGTCAAGGAGAGATACTTGAGAATGTTTGAGCCTGGTTCAGGACGAGACATTCCCCTTGTGTCTATCCGAAGGTCATCGGGTCCAAACAGTGCCCCCCGTTCCATGGTTTACAACGAGGCTGAGAGGAGCGTCTTGATGTGCACAGACGCCGAAGGCGGATCCTACGAATTGTACCAGATCCCTCGCGATGCCTCCAAGGGCGCACAGGAATCTGTGGACTCTAAACGGGGTCTTGGATTGGCAGCTGTCTTTGTGGCTCGGAACCGATTCGCTGTTTTGGACAAGAGCAGGCAGATTCTGATCAAGAACCTGAGCAATGAGGTGACCAAGAAACTCTCACCACCCCATGCAACTACGGACATGATTTTCTATGCTGGAACTGGCATGTTGCTTTGCAAAGCAGAAGACAAGATCACTCTCTTTGATTTGCAGCAGAAACGGGCCATGGGAGAGATCACTTGCCCTAATGTCAAATATGTTGTTTGGGCGAGCGACATGAAACACGTTGCGTTCCTGAGTAAGCACACCGTGGTATTGGCAAGAAGGGATGCCCAAAAGCTGGAGCATTTGGCCACTGTCCACGAGACCATTCGTGTCAAAAGTGGTGTCTGGGAAGAAGGAAGCACCAAGGCCTTCATCTACACGACTTTGAACCATGTTAAGTTCTGTTTGACTCAAGGGGACAGCGGCATTATCAGAACCCTTGAAGCCCCAGTATATCTCTGCAAAGTGATGGGAAACAAACTCTTCTGCTTGGATCGGGAAAGCAACACTCTGACGCTTTCTATTGACAAGACGGAATTTTTGTTCAAAGTGGCATTGCTGGATCGCAACTATGATGAAGTTCTTAGAATCATCAAGCGCTCCAAACTTTGTGGGCAGGCAATTATTGGATATCTTCAGAAGAAGGGCTTTCCAGAAGTTGCGCTTCAGTTCGTGAATGATGAAAAGACGAGATTCAATCTCGCGATTGAATGTGGCAACATTGAAGTTGCATTGGCGTCGGCTTCAGCGCTGGATGACAAGGACTGCTGGCACAAACTTGGTGTTGAGGCTCTCCGACAAGGAAATCATCAAATTGTGGAGATGGCATATCAAAAGACCAAAGACTTTGAGAGATTGTCATTCCTGTATTTGATCACAGGCAATACCGAGAAGCTCAACAAGATGTTACGGATCGCTGAGATGAGGGGTGACGTCATGGGAAGATTCCACAATGCTTTGTACCTCGGTGATGTGAATGAGAGGATCAAGATTTTGAAGGATCAGCAACAGCTTGCTCTGGCCTACCTCACTGCTGTGACCCATGGAGTTACAGATGCTGCAGCAGAGATTGAAGCTCTGATTCCGGAGGAACTGCTACCTTCGTGTAAGCCGAAAGCTGACGCTTCTCTTCTGTTCCCTCCAACCCCAATCTTCAGAGAGAACAATTGGCCGTTGCTGCGTGTCTCCAAGGGCTACTTTGATGGACCTGTCGAGAAAGTGAGCGAGTCGAAGCTCAACGAAGAGTTGGATGGAGATATTGGTGGTGGATGGGGTGGAGATGACTTGGATTTGCCCGGTGAAGGTGGAGGCGATGTTGTCCAAGAAGAGGATGCGGACATGGGCGGAGAAGGATGGGGCGGAGATGGCGTGGATCTCGAGGATGGAACAGGAGAGACCGGGGATGGATGGGGTATCGATGAACTGGATCTGGATCTCCCAGGTGGGGGAGCAGCCACAGGCAAGAGTCCGGGAGGAAACGTTGGAGGATTTTTTGCCCCGCCTACGATGGGAACACCAGCAGCTCTTCGGTGGCAACAGGCTTCCAATGTAAGTTTCACTCTCAGGAGACCGTGCTCCCCCTTACCTCCTGTTCTAGGTACCTGGCGAGCATGTCGCTGCCGGTTCCTTCCAGAGTGCGATGGAGTTGATGAACCGACAAGCCGGTGTGGTCAACTTCGAGCCGATGAAACCTGTGAGTCCATGCAAGCTGAACCATGATAGCTCATAGTGCGTTACAGATCTTCACAAGCGTCTACCTAGGTGCTCAGGTGCAACTCGAGTTTCAATACCTCGACTTTGAGACTGATCATTTTTCCATTTCAGTCCTTCTTGTCTGGAAGTCCAGGTGCCGCTATCATGGAATGCGCGATGCATCGCAACAACGAAAATTATTTCTGGAGTGCAAGAGGTCGTGAACTCGAGAATCTCTTTGTCCTGTGCTTATGGCGCGTCTACAGGTACTGATGGAATGCCTGCGGTCTGTGCAACAGTGCCTACTCTTACCGACCGTATCAAGTCTGGATACAAGGCCTTCACTGAGGGCAAGCTTCCTGAAGCCTTGCAGATCTTTGTCTACTCGTTGCAGGTACAATAGATGACTTGAGCTGGTGTTTATCCTGACGTCACCAATTCAAGTCGGTTCTGGTCGCGTGTGTTGATTCAAAGCAAGAGCTTGACGAGCTGCGAGAACAAATGGGCATCTGCAAGGAGTACATCACGGCGATCATCTTGGAGACAACGAGGCGCGAGCAGTTCAAGGAAGATCCGACCCGCAACGTCGAGTTGGCGGCTTACCTCACGTAATCTCCTTTGTGACATGGGGGATTGAGTCAGCTCATTCTCCTCTTGTGCAGGCACTGCAACTTGCAGCCCTTGCACTTGCTCATCTCGCTGAGGTCGGCCATGAGCAGTTCAGTGAAGATCAAGAACTACAACACGGCTGGGTCGTTCTGTCGCAGGTTCGTATTGACAAGGCAGAGATATCAAAATACTAAGAAGCTATTTACAAGGCTGTTGGAATTGAACCCCAAGGCTGAGCACAAGGAGCAAGCTCTGAAAGTTCTCAAAGTGTGCGAGGCGAACCGTTCCAACGAAGTTGAGCTGCAGTATGACGAGCGAAACCCTTTCGTTGTGTGCACGTGAGTCCCCTGCCGTCATACTTGCCGCCATGCTGGCCTTCTCTCCTATGACTCTGGCCCTGCAGAAAAAGCTTCGTTCCGATATACCGCGGCAAGCCTATTACGTATGCCTTGAACTCCCAGTCTCACTTCGGCTAATTGCTGCTCACAGGCGCTGTGGATTCTGTTCGGCTCCCTTCGATCCTGCGTTCAAGGGCCAGGTGTGCGCAGTCTGCCAAGTCGGAGAGATTGGCTTGAAGGGAACGGGGCTGATCAACTCAAGACACCAACGGAACAAGGTAGAAGGCGTTGAGAGTCGACATTGATGTATGACCTGTTGACAGCAATCCTCCAACGACATGGGAGACTTTGATGATTGAGCGGGATAGCCCCAATCCGCACGCTCTTCCCGACTGCTGGCCTGGTCTCATTACACGCTTGCAATGAAGGGTGTTTCGTCCACTACAAGAGTTTGATGCCAGTAGGGAAGTGTGTTGAATCTCACCACCTGCGCTCCTGTAAGACTTTTCTTTTCTTCTTTCAACATCACCTTAGAGTCTTCGAGCATCGCCCGAACGGCTAAGTAGTGCACGGGGCCATCGCCCCAGCGATGACGGAAAAACCCTCCTGAGTCATCGAGGGCTTTGAAGATAGCGAGATACTCCTGCGAGCGCCACACAGCCATGGCGCTAACCTCGAAGTTGGTGTAGAAGAATGTCCTGGACCCTCGTGAGATTCGGCGCAGGTCGACTTATCCACACCTTCCCCACGCTTTTTGCGATCCAACAGCGGGCAGGTTGGGCAACTTCAGTCTGAACCATCTGTGAGCTACATCTCTCCGAATGGTCAGGTTGCTCTCACCTGGTCGCCTCCTGCATGAACGTCTCCCACAGATTCACAACGAACTTGCGTTCCTCACGACCTGTCGTGATGTACCCATAAGATTGCTGGCGGTCAGCCAAGTGCTGGATCGGGTCGAGGGGGAGTGGAGCGATGAAGAAAGAGTCAACGTCGAGCCGCATGTAGAAGTCCAGGCTCTGCCAAGAAGCTGAGAGGAGAATGTTTGTACAGGTAGGGGCTGCCTGCATTGCTGGATGGTTGTAAATCGGCCCAGAGAAAAATCGACACATGGCTCGGTAGCCAAGACCGTAGCCTAGAAACTTTCTAGAGAAATTCCCGTGCTTGTCCTGTTGGTCCGATGGGACATCCATGTTAATCTGAGGAGACAAATTAGAACTGCAGGTTGCCGACGACAACACCTTGTGAAATGAGATGTTCAGGTTGGGTCGGTTCAACTGCAGTATGGTAGACTCTTCAAGGAAGTCATAAAAAACATAGACGGGATAATAGCGGTGTAATGTGAAGTAATTCTTCTCAAGCAAGTTTAGACTCTGATCGACATGTTAATATCAATGCGATCCGCGTTCACCGAACCTGATTCAAGTCTTGAATATCCTCGTCAGCCTTAGAAGTAAGGTATACAATTGCAGCTGACAGCGACTGATCAGACTGTGCGATGCTGATAATTCTCCTCTCTTTCAGTTGATGTAGATCGTCATCATGCCATACGATTGAGGACGGGAAGGCTTCAGCAGTCATGCCTTCCCGCACTCTCAGCAGGTCGTGATAGTACCCGACCTCACCTTCCGGCTGCTATGTCCGTCAAACAGTTGGAAAGTCAAGAGTGATCATGAAAGCACCTGGCGCAACCATCGCAGCAGCTCCCTGGCATGAAAGTGGTCCCCTTGCCTCATCAGAGTCGTGGCGGCAGCAACGAACGGGAAGGGATGCGAAGGATCCGACAGGAAAGCTCGCCTGCGCCGCAAGATGAGCCGGTCAGAGAGTGGCTCGAGAGCCTTTGAGCTTACTTGAAGAAGGCAAGAGCTTCTGCTGCTTCTCCTTGACGAGAATATGCCATGCCGAGGGAGATTAGAGTGTCTACCTGTGCAAGAAATCAGAAAACAAATCATTTACTGCAACTTCCCACACATCCTCCATCGCTTCCAACGCCTTTCTCCACAAAACCACAGCATTCTCCCAGTCATCCTCATCTGAATACACTTTTCCAAGGTTGAATTGAAACTTGGACAAGCTTGAGTTGGAGATGAAACCTATGTTTCTGCTAGAGAAGTTAAAAAAGACTTCGATATTGCTCCGAATTACTTGTAAGTGAGATCGATTGCTGCAGCACAGAAACCTTTCGCCTCCGCAGTCCTTCCAAAGTTTCGCAGGACATTGCAAACGTCATTGTAGAGATGCACAGCTGCTCTGTCTACGTACGACGTGTCGGACAGCTTGACTCGTCGGATCGCAGCTAACGAATGCTTCAAAACTCTCAGAGCTGACGATGGAAAACCTTCGTCCCGAAAGTTGTAGGCTATCTTGCAGCCGAACATGGTAAGGTCTGTCACGAACTTTTTGAGATGACCGGAAGGATACGTGCGTCCTGCTGAGTTGAGAACGCTGTTTGCTACTCGAGATGCCAACACCAGTGCTTGGAAAGACAAGAATTCGTTGGGCCGCAGGGTCTCCTCTGCGTTGTCTTTCACGTTTGACTTTCCATTCTCACAATCTGCCAACATGCGCAGCGAGATGTACTCCATCTCCTCGTCCCTTTTCTCTCTTGACATTCTGAGCAACGTGCGTGCCGCTCTTGCTGCCATGTCGAAATTACCCTGCTGAGAAAGTTGAACGGCCTCCCTCAGCACGTCGCTGTCTGAGAGCTCGTGAGCTCCCACCATCAACACGAAAGCAGCAATAGCGAGCATGACGAAGCATGATGGCACAGCCCTTGCATATAAGCTGAAGAGCATTCGCCCTAGCTTCATCCTGCGATAGAACCAAAGGAGGAAACCTTCATCTAGTTTCGCGGAAATCAACCATGTGTTCAGCCTTCTGATAGTAAGGAGCGAGACAGGTGTAGCGTCTTGCTCGCCCTCTTCTCTCCCTCTTGCTCTTCTCTCCTCCACTCTCACTCCTCCATCGTTCGCCGCTCTCGAAGTTCATCCTAGCAAATGCTTGGTTCAGGAAGCGGAAGGGGTGATTTTCAGGGAGGAAAGTGGGGTAGGGTACGCGTGGTTTGTGGGATACGAGAGCAACTTTCAGGGGATGACGAACTCGTGGATGAAAGGGAGGGAGCAGCGAAGAGACGAGCAGAACAGAACAGAACAGAACAGAGGAGGGAGGGGAGCGGAGGGTAGAAGAGGAGCGCGGAGGAGAGGAGAGGGGAGGAGAGCGGAGGAGAGCGGAAGAGAGGAGAGCGGAGCGGAGAAGAGGAGAGCGGAGCGGAGCGCGGAGGGGAGGAGAGCGGAGCGCGGAGGGGAGGAGAGGGGGCGGAGGTATTGGAGAATACGAGATGAAAGGCGATGATGACAGACGAGCATCTGTGTAGCTGATCCCTCTTTCATCTGTGACAAGAGTTTGTCGAGGACGTTGGAATTCTTGACGTCAGCATCGAAGATACTCGGAGCTTGTGATGCCGTCATTACCAACAGAGGTTTCTCTCTTAAACTAAATCAGCATGATGACTGACATTCTTTACAGCAATGCAACTCGAAAGGGTACTTCCCACTACACGCTCACAAGCTGCGGAAGAAGACATACAAGATCCTCATGCTGTACAAACAAAGCGCTTGAACCGAAATGAAATTAATGCTACAATAAAATCAAGACGATTTCTAAGGGTGTGCGAGGTTGCCGCAATCAATCCCCTTCTTGTAATCAATTTCTTGCGGCGTGTTGTAAATGAAAGAATCGAACGTGAAGAATGTAACAGCTGTGTATAGATCTCCACACACTCCGAACAAGAAGCAATAAAATAAATAAGATGTATGTACATGGGAAATTCAAGAGGGGGTATAGAGACCAAAGCTAACACCACATGTGATTCCTCTCTGCATCATGAATTGATGATACATCACAAACCAACGGAATGTCATGAAGGGTAAGATCAGCTGTCGGAATTCGAAAAGAAGCAAGCATGAATTAAATTTGAAACCAGTCAATGTCTTGCAAGTCATTCCATTCACTTTCTCTTCTTCCTGTTGAGTGCTGCAACAAATGCAGAGACTTTGCTGTCAATCTCTCCATCTTCATGCGCTTGTAGCAGGCTCTTTTTCCTGCCCTGATCGTCCTGGTTGCTACTCTCCTTCTCCTCTCCTGGCACCTTCAATGTAGTCAAGTCGAACAAGCAGCACAAGTCATCGAAACCGTACAGCTCTCTCGCCGTCTTTCCCGTAAAGTTTGCTTTTGACCATCTCCAGAAATTGACCTTCAGGGGTGTCCTTGAGTTGCTGCACTAGGTGAACTTCCCGCCTGGTGGCTGACGTAGAGGAATCACGTTGGAATCAAAACAAGCAAACGCACTTGCTACCTGCTCTGCGCCTTAGAATCTCTTTCAGAGCTCGTTCTCGTGTCAGCAGCGTCTTGTCAAGTTGTTCGAAGCAAGCATCAGTGAATATGATGGTACTCATCGCTTCGTCAAGCTCGTGGTCCACCTTCAACAGCTTGCTCTCTATCTCTTGAGATTTCTTGAGCATGTCTGCTGGATTGTCGTGCCTCTCATTCTTCTCCATTTTGCAGAACTGGTAGAACTTCACGACAACAAACTCAGATGCTGCTCTGTCGTTCACTTCCTCTCATGTCACGAATGTCAAGGCGTCTCGTCGTCGATCATGTCGGTTCGGCAGGAAGAGCGAGGTATATCGCAAAGGGAGAGTCACAGAGGCGCCGACGGGTGCGCGAAGCCGGGCGGAGTGAATGAAGAGCAACTAGCAGCAGGAGGGAGACAAGATGGTTAGAGGCGGGAGGGTGGCGAGCGAGTTGGAGAGGTGGGGGGGGGGGAGGGCTTGGATATGCGCGGCAGTGAGGAGGGCCGGGAGTCAAATTCATAGTGCCAGGCGTGTGAGGGAAAGAGAGGCGGGGCGGCAGTGTGGGTGAGGGGGAAGAGGGTGAGGGGGGAGAGGGTGAGGGGGAAGAGGAAGATCACAAAGGAATGAGGGGAAGGAGAGAAGACAAGGAAAAAGTATATTTCAGCTGTTCAAGCTTGTCATGTGAAGGAGCCCCATGAAGCATTGAGGGACTGAAACATCTCATGATATAGATTACTGATTGCAACATTTACTGATGGCAACAAGAATCCTTGGCTTAGGACGAGCTTGAATCATGAGAATCGCTGTCAACCCTTCTTGTTCTGTTCAAACGAGCATAAGCAACAAGTGGAAGCAATTCACAAAGAATTGACCGGGGATAATGATGCTGCCTTCTCGTTTCGTTGATCGCTTTGCCATACTGCGGCGCGTTCTTCAATATCTTGCCTGTCGCCTGTTCTGCAGTCAAGATCTCTCTAGCTCGACGACAAACCAGCATACCGGATGTCGCGTGTTCAAGAAACCATCGTCCTCGCTGTCGCTCTCGGAATCATCGGAGTCCTGCTTACTCATCAGTTCTCGGGTGCATGGTGAAGGATTTGAGACTTGAAGATGAGCATGGCCTTTAGCATTTCTCTTGTAGTAGATTGAAAGCTCCGATTCTCCTCCGGCTGTTCATAAGAAGCGTCAGAATGAATTCTTCTCGCAGCCTGCACGCACATGAAAAGAACTTTCTGTCGGTCTCTCTGACCTCTTGCAGGATGTTACGCATCTGTTGCAGTCAGTTAGTGAGCGAGCAATCATCGACAATCGACCATGGTTCTCTGCTTTGCTCCTCTGTACATCCGCTGAATCAGCACTGACGCTCCCTGTCGGATTTCCTCCTCCGCCACATCTGCGAACCTGCACACCACAAACACATCACCGACGTCGAGCACTCATCTTTCTGCTCTACGTCCGGTTTGCAGCCTTTCGTCCTCTCATGCCGCGGTATGCGGCTTGCAACTTTAAGGCGCTCCGCTCTGCCTTGCGTATCCTCGCTTGTTCCATCATCAACCTTGTCCTAGGAGGCAACAGGTGTGACAAACATCGAAGCATCTCTCGGTTCGATCTCACATCCTCCGTCCAATATGGCCTCTGAAAGTTCGCTGCACCATGCTCGCTGCCGTGTTGACCACATGTTCTCTGCATGCCTTGATGATGTCTTGGTTCCCCTCATCTTCAGAGCGCAGAAGCTGAAGGAGTTGCGTGAGATGCAAGCAAGAGGTAAGAGCGACTCGCCTCCGCTAACAATTCAATGCTCATGTTGTCTTGGTCTTCCTGCCGAGATTTGTCAAAACACAAGTACCAACCTTCGGACTTGCCTCCTTCGTCTCGAATCGAAAAGATGTCCACGTTGATCCATCTTCAATCGAGGCTGCCTGGAACTCTTCTTGCAGCTTCGTCAAGACTGATAAGAAGATCGATGAGAATTCATGCCTTGAAAGCATTAGCAAGGAAAATACAATCTTACCAGACTGCTGTGCCTGAATCTCCTCAATCAATTTTTCTTCTTCCTTTGTGAACACGATGGGAGCATTTTTCTCCACCTTTTCTGCAAACTGCAACAATCTATCGAATGGATTTGACATGGTGAGCGTTCTTGATCCGCTCTGGCTATTGCCCCTGCTTCATAACTTGTCGTGCTTCAAAGGGGTCAGATCCTGAAGCCTAGCAGGCTCAGGTCGAAGTAGCGAGCATCAGGATGGAGGAGGAGACTCAAGGTTCGGCCAGTGCTGCAGCTGAACCCAGTGAGTGCGATCTAGTTGCCTTGCTTGTCCCTCGGCCTCTCAGCGGTTCTTGGTGGCCCTCGTAGCATCGGCGGCTGGTAGCATCCCTGGCACACCCGCCTCAGAGGTCGAACAGTGAAGCTATGTGGGGGGATGGGGGCCTAAATTTCAATTTTGGCGCGGGGTGGCGTGCGAAGCTGCTAGTGCCGGGGGCAAGCGTGAGGCAGAGAGAGAGGGGAGAGGGAGAGGGAGAGAGGGAGAGAGAGAGAGAGAGAGAAGTGGGGGAGAGGAGAGTAGAAGAGGAAGGAGGTGATACTGATTGTGCGTATAATGGTTTATCACCACACACCTTCGCAAGGGAGTTGACGTATTGACATCAGTAGTGTATGGCAATCAACTATGACTTCCTAAACAACACAAACGATATGATGCTGCCTTGACAAAACAATTCAAATCATGATAAGTCTGTCCGAAATGAAACTCAAAGATAGGCTTTCATTGGAATAGACCTTTGACATCCTGTCGATTGGATATGGCGAGAGAGCTTTCTCGACTCGCCTCTTTCGGTGTATTTTTATTTTTTATGCTCCTTCTTGTCAGCTTGAGTGAGGGGTTGTTGTTGAATCCCCGATTTGTATCGCTTGACAGCACGTCGACCAAAGCAAGTTTGCATAAACATGCTCGACTCGTTCTACGTGGGGGCGATGACATGCTGCAATCTGATGCCGACAGCGTTATGGAGGATGCAGAAAGCGAAGAGGAAATCGAGCAGCTGAGCGAAGATCTTCCCGCTACTGAGACTCTCAAAGCTAGTGATGCCCTTCATCCGAGAGGTGCGTCAGAGTTGGAATCAAGTATGTCAGCTCAAACGAAACGAAACCTTTCAACGAAGCTTTCCTCATTGCGACGGGATCTGCCCATCGATCTCAACGAGACGTTGACATTCCAGTTACTTGATGTAGATTACACGCGCCCACAGAAGTCAAGTGAAACGATTGATCAAGGAGATTTCACCGTGAACGCGTTTGGGGTCACTCAAGAGGGTAAATCGGTACATGTTGCCATCTCAGGAGTTCTCCCGTACTTCTTCGTAAACCTTCCCAAGGCTTTAAATGAAGAGGAATGTAAGGTATTTCTTACGAAAGCTATCAAGAAGTTCGAATCGCAAGCAAGTCAAAACTACGGGTATTCGAGCTATCAGATCTCCGAATCGTGCAGGATTGTTAATTGCAGTTACGTCAGAAGAAGGAGCATTTGGGGCTATCAAAGAAATGAAAGTCATTACATGCAGATACTCTGTTCAAACCCAGAGACTGTCAAGAGAGCAGCTACAATATTTAGACACTGGGATGCCTCACTTGACATGCAGGAGATATTTCCCAAGGGTCCAATCGTCTTCCAAACTTTTGAGTCCAATGTGGACCCAATTACGCGGCTAACGACGGACTCAAATATCGTCATGTCTGGCTGGGTACAAATACCTGTCAACGATCTAAAGTGGAGCGATTCAAGAACAAGACTGTCACATTGCGACATCGACGTGGCTGCACATTTTTCAAAAGTGCAAGCTCTGCCCGAAAAAGAAGACGTCTCCCCCTTCTTGATAGGATCGTTTGATATTGAGTGCGTGCCTGAAGGTGGAAGGGGGTTCCCAGATCCTAGCAAGCCATTGGACAGATGTATTCAAATCGGAACCATCGTCTATAGATTCGGCGACTCAAAACCTTTAGCGAATATTGTTTATTGTTTAGGATCAGCATCTGTTGATGATGAATCTATCCACATTCGGGAATTCGAAAGAGAAGAAGATCTTCTCATGGCTTGGCAGCACCTTGTCGTTCATGAGCTTGACTTGGACCTCTTGACTGGGCACAACATCTTCAAATTCGATCTCAACTACATAGCTCGGAGGGCCCAAGTTCTAAAACTCCCAGAATTCTTCGAACTTGGTAGAATGAAAGGGAAGTATACTGCTATTAAGACCACGGATAGCCAAAGCAAGGCATTCGGCCATAATCAATTTCACTACCTTCCGATGACAGGGAGGATGCAGATGGATATTTACCAGGTCATGACCAAACAACACAAATTATCTTCTTACAAATTAGACAGCCTTGCTAAACACTTTCTTGGGATGCAGAAGGATGATGTCTCGCCAAAACAGATCTTTGAATTCCAGGTGAAAGATGCCTCTCACAGAGGCATCGTTGCAAAGTATTGTGCGAAAGATTGTGAGCTTGTTTATCGCCTCATCGAGCGACTGGATGTTCTTCCTCAATTCCTGGAGATGTCCAAGGTCACAGGGGTAACTATGAACGACCTCAACACGCGTGGCCAGCAGATCAAAGTTTTCACTCAGATAGTACGTGAGGCTCGAGCGTCAGACTTCGTGATCCCTGACATGCGAGCTGCCCCCACATCAAGGGATGACGTGCAGTACCAGGGCGCTTTTGTGCTCCCTCCGCAACGCGGCATCTACCACGAACCGATCGCTACCTTAGACTTCGCGTCGCTTTACCCCTCCATCATCCGAGGAGACAACTTATCCTATGAGACTCTTGTGCAGAACGAGTGTGAACTAGACGAAGACACTCCGGTCTCTTGCATCCAAGTCGATCATGGAACGATCTGGGATGCTGAGATCACGATCGTGAAGGGTTCGTGCAGGTGTGTTGGAGCACTAGATGACGTTCAGTTTGTAAAGCTGATGTCCATGGTGGAGCCGGGAATGAAAGTTGTTTTCGGGACTTCCAAGAAGACAGATCCAGTTGTTGGTCCGACTTATCAAGTGAAGAGCGCAGGCGGAACTGCAATCGAGCTGGTTGACCCAATCCATCACATTGAAAGGGAGTTGACAGTCAAACGCGTCAAACTCTTGAAGGAGTACACCTACAAGTACGTACAACACGTGGAAGGAATCCTCCCAAGAATCTGCAAGAATCTGCTCACTGCAAGGAAGAAGGCGAAGAAGGAAATGGCTCTCACGGACGATCCCATCAAGAAGGGCTTGTTGAATGGCAAGCAGTTGGCCCTCAAAGTCTCTTGCAACTCCGTCTATGGATTCACTGGCGCTGGCAGGGGTATGCTGCCATGTTTGCCGATCGCTTCATCGGTCACTGCTATCGGCCAGCAAATGATCAAGACGACAAGTCAGACTGTGCAAGAAAACTTCAATGCTACAGTCATTTATGGGGACACGGACTCGGTGATGGTGAACTTTCACTGCGGAGAAGGGCCGGAAGCTCTGAAGAAAGCTCTCGAGCTCGGGCAGAGGGCTGCAAAACTCGTCACGAGCAAGTTCAAGCCTCCCAACGAGCTCGAGTTCGAGAAGGTGTACATGCCGTACATCCTTTACAGCAAGAAGAGGTATGCGGGGCAGATGTATACCAGTCCAGACAAACCCGACAAGATCGACGTGAAGGGACTTCAAGTTGTTCGGCGCGACAACAGTGAACTTCAGAGGGATCTGATGAAGAACCTGATCAAGACGATGGTGAAGGAAATCACACAAGATGAGCTGACATGCATGGACAGTGGGGCAAGCAAACTCGAAGTGCTTAAGTCGCGCATTTCAGATCTAGTCCGTTCCTATAATCAAGATCTTGTACAAGGAAAATTCCCTTTGGAGAAGTATGTGATCTCGCAATCCATCTCCAAGAAAGGCTACGAGAAGACAAATGCTGCAGGCTTCAAGAGCGCAGCCCTCGGCCATGTCAAACTTGCAGAGAGGATGGAAAAACGAGAGCCTGGGACCGGCCCGGTAGCAGGGGACCGGGTGCACTACATCATCGTGAAAGAAGCCCCCCACCTCTCGCACATCAAGAATCGAACAATCGATGGCGTGACTTACGCGGCCAAGGACTGGCCCCCTCGCCATGAGAGGTGCGAAGATCCTACGTACGTGAAGGAGAAGAATTTGACAGTCGATCTCGCATACTATTTGGAGAACCAGCTGAAAAATCCGGTGACGTCACTGCTCGAGCCTGTCTACGACAAGAGCGAAGAGCTCTTTCTTGAAGCAGAGCGAAATCTCAAGAGCAAGTTGTCTGGAAACTTGATGTTGACCTCATTCTTTGCTCCAAAGCAGACAGAAAATGCACGTTCCAAGGTAGATGGAAAGAATGACGAAGTGAAGAAAGACAAGGGCAAAGGTAAGTTTGAAGTGGCAGGGACGAAGGTGAAAGACAAAGTTGATGTTTCTCTTCAGGTTGTGCAAGCGGTGGGACTCGAGTGATGGAGGACTTCTTCAAGAAAAAGAGGAAGTCAGATGAAAACAAGGAGGTATGCAGCTGATGGAGGGCATCATGAAAGAAACCTGAGGGAGATCTTTAATTTTGTACAAATGGATTTGCAAGAATCTCATCCTTGCACTTCTCATTGAGAGACACGTCGTGCTCTGTTTAGGAGATGAAAGTGAAGTTCACGTCTTTAGCCCATCGTAGCAAGTCTTTCCAGCGACATTCGTGAGTGTATCGTCTGCTCCTTTTGAGATCAGATAGTCTGCGAGCTCCTTGTACCCGACCGAGAAGGCGAAGTGCAGAGCTGTGTTGCCCTGGCGATCAGCCTGATTGGGATCGGCTCCCATACGCAAAAATCTCTTGGCTAGTTTCTTGTTCCCGTTCTGAGCTGCGACCATCAAGGCCGACTTGCCGCTGGCGTCTCTAGCGTTGACGTCAAAGCCTTGAGCGAGCACCTCCTCTATGTCCGCCTTGTTCTTGTGCCTTATGTGCCCGAAAAACGCTTCCAAGTCATTCGCGCTCAATTTCTTGACTGGCACAGCACTGGAAGCATCGTCACGGGGACTGTTGTCCCTACTTTCAGGTGGCTCTGTCTCTGGTCCTTCCTCCATGCCTTCTCCAACCGTCAACCCTCCTCCTTGCTCCACATTGTTCCGAAAACTCTCTGTGGCTGATGCCTTCGATTTCAAAGTTTCGAATTCCTTCCGTCGGTCTGAGATGACCTGAGAAGATTTGGCGTGCTGCGGGCTTGTCTTGCCGAGCTCAGAGAGGAGGTAGACCTGCTGCACCTCCTGCCCTGTCTTCTTCCTCGCAAAGGTCGCCTGCTCTTCTGTCTCCTTGCGATCCTGCAGCCGGATGCCCTCCACGTTGGACCTGAGCCTCCGAGAATCTTTCAGTTTGCTCTGAAGTTTCGCGACAAGAGGCGAGAAGACGCTGTCATCGCTTCCTTCTGCCGCGACAGCATGCGAGGAGGCCTGACGCTTCGTCGCAGACAAGGCAGACTTGGTTCTTGATGTTCTTAGCTCCTCAGTATGTGCGTCCCCTCTCGCTCCTTCAGCACCATCCGTGCTGAAGATGACCCTGGGGTTGGTGAGGTCATCCCCCTGCAGGTGTCGTCGGATCGTGTCTTCGATCCAGCTCTCGAGATTTTCAAACATTCGAACTTTCTCAACCGCTCTCCAGACTCCCTCTTCAAAGTCTTCCTCATCATCCTTGAGCGTTTGCCCTGCAGAGGTCAGCAAACCTTCACCTGACCTCTCCTCGCTCCTCGTGCTTGCTCTTGACAGGTAGAGCGACCCAGGACCTCGGACCTGCATGGCATTTTGCTCCATGTCCACGGACTTCAACTGCATCTCCTTCATCGCAGGCCCTTGACTTGCTCTCGCGCTCCTGTACACCAGGCCCAAGGGTTTCTGGTCACCGAACGACAGAGACGATTCTCGTAGAGTGGTCAGAGACTGGGCGAGTGAAGGAGGAGAGTCCTCGGGCTCTCCTTCCTCGAACAAATGAGGGGCGATGTAACTGTCCGTCTTCATGAGACGCGGCGACGTCAACTGGCCCATGTCTGCCTCTGCGATCCTGCGGCGTGATAGGCTGATGGGCGGCAAGCTGACCTGCGATTGAGCATGAAGCACTTGAGAATGCACTTGCTGCTGAACCGAATCCAGCGAAAGTTGGGGATATGATGCCGCAATCTCGTTGACCTGCCTCAATCCAAACTGATGTGCGATGGCTGCAATCTTCGTGTCGAGTCTCGAGGTGGTTCGGGTGAGGGACGACAGCCGCTTTCTGATAGCTGATCGCTCTTCTTCCGAGACCAGGTTGGAGAGATCCTCCTCGCTGCGGACGTTGTTCCTCGTTATGATCTCCGCCCTCCGGCTCGAGGATCGACGCCAAGGGAGGTCAACACTGGACGACCTCTTGCTACGAGACTTGTTGCTTCCTTTCTTGCTCGCATCCGTTCGAATGTTTTCGTAGTCTCTGCTGCGTTTCTCGTGCATTGTCATCGCCTCGAGCTTCTCATGCCGCCTGATGCTCGCAACCTTCATGTGATGATCTGACTCTATCATCTCAACAGTCGCTGACTTCTCGAGCAAAGCCTCCAGCAGTTCCTCGTAAGCCTCCCGTATCTTGTTTCCCAGCATCTGCTTTTGTTCAGCGCTTCCCATGGTCGACTGAGCTTGTCGAACAACTTTTCTCTGCTGTTCAACGTACATTTGATCTGACAGAGCAGCAAGAGCATCGCGGATGTCCCTGGTTGCCATACTGCTGCAATGAGCGAAGCCTCTAGAGGTCATGACCGAGACTGTCTATACGTCTTGCGCTTCTTGTCGTTTCCGACAATTCTTGCCCCAACTTTCCTCGTCCTCGCCTACCGCATCCTCTCCCGTTTACTCCTTTCCCTCCCGCCTGCCATCATCAGGCCCTCAAAGGGTTGCTAACGGTTGTGGCCCACCTCCCCTGACCGACCAAGGTTGGGCTATGAGGACTATGTGAAGGAGAAAAAGTGAAGCGGGCCATCCCTTCAAATTTGTGGCTTCCACGAAACCCACAAATGGCAGTTTCACCCCCTTTTTAAACCACAAAAGAACCGGTACTCTGATAAAAAACCCATTCATAACACAATCAGCACACGTCCACGCTCTATCTCCACCCCCCTCCCCGCTCATGCAGGAAGAAGAGTTTCTGGGTCAGACCAGAAGAAGCAGTCAGTTCATAAGACTGAGCTCAGAGGACGAGGGTGCCCTGGGAGTCCTGTCAAGAAGTGGGAGGCGGTAAGAAGAACCCAGGCCCTGTCACT